CTCATGCTAAGAAATGATAAAAAAAACCCCACAAACCTGTTTTTAGTTTTCTTTCTTGTAGAAAAAAGCTGAAAAAGAAAAAATGGAATTTTTTTCACAACTCCACGGGCATCTTGAAACACCTGGAAATGTACAACCTAATCCTTTCACTTCAACAGGACTGTTCTTTTATTTCTAGAGAACATAAGTTAAATGTGCTAACTGTTCCCCAGCTTCTTATTTACAGCCAGGAAGTGTTTTTAAAATGAAATACCTTTGCCAATTATAACTAGAAAGCTGCCACCAAACATGATCAATAAGAAACGCATAGTAAGGGCAAATGTTTGTCATGTAAACTTTAGAGCACTTCATTAATATGCAGGGGGTTTGTAATTTGGATTATTATATGGTTGTAATTTTTTTTTATTTAGTAAAATTTAGACTTTTTAAATTACACTGTCTTCTCAGGTAATATATTAATGGATGCATGTTTTGCTGCATGGCTTACATTGGGTCCATAAGTTTGTCAGAAGAGACCTAGAAGACTTTTGCTCTGAATAACTCAGTCTTTTGATACTAAAAAAAACAGTGCTTCTTAGGGAAACGTTTTAAATTCTTCCCTGACTAAACCATGTGGAAAGATGTAATATGTTCATACTACTTGTGTTACTGCCCTGTAGGCCAGCTCACTTCTGTGATAGCGGAAATACCTTCTTATGCCATCTACTGTACCGAATGAAATCTAATGACCTGTGCTCCTGTAGACTTTGAACAATTTTATTTTTTTTATACCATCTACAAGCAAGATGAATAATGAGCCCAATTGTTGTTCACTTTCAGTCAAAGGAAACATCACCTCACTCTACAAGTAGTTCTTAATGTTAGTTGTGTACTTGTATGAGAAGGTGTTTCTTGGCTCAAGCACCACTGTGACCTGGGACAGAAGTGCCATGGTAGTTGTAACAGAGAGGAAAGAATCTCAGCATTTGTCTGCCCTTGGTTAAATGCTTGTTTTGAATCTTTTCAGAAGTTCAGTGAGATGAGTTTTTTATAGCTCTTTTTATATATATTTACAGTTGCATCTTTTTTTCCTTGGCTCTGTCCAGAGTAGTCTGGCTTTGGTACCGAAGTGAAACCTACCCACAGAATATATTCAGTGGTAGTGGTAGCAGCATTGTCTGTGACAGTGAAACTCCTTCCTCCTTTGACCTGGACAGACTGTCAAGCTGGTGATTCACTCACTCTGAACCCATTCCTCTTCTCTGCTGGACTCATGCACAGAATTGCTCAGCTGTTACCAATGGTTTCATGCTAAATGTTTTCAGATTAGGCTGGCACAGTCATGTTCACCCTCTGTAGTCATTTAGCATCTGTCAGGTAGTAGTGACTTTAAGGTAACTGTGAACAATTCTGGGAGAAGGGATTCTCTCTCGCCTTTTTTCAGTTTCACCAGATGATGTTCACTGAGCCTCCTTTCTCACACAATCAGCACAGCATAATTTAAAAACCTATTAGTCTATACACAGTCTGGCACAAATGTATTTCTCTTGCAAATAAAATAGAAACATAAAAATGTTTTATGTTTATTATTTTATTAGGTATAGGTTTCATGTTCTTTGTTTTTCTGTTAAAGAGAAGATTTAACTGTTCACGTATTTACTGCATTAAATTGAGAAACGAGATGATAGGACAGGATATAAAGGTTTTGGATATCTCCATCACTTTTTCTGCTTCATGTTAAGCAAACAAAAAATAGAAGAAAAAACAAAACAGATTTTTTTGCATGGCATGTCACTTTTAAAGTGATTTTAGTCTTTCAGATAAAGTTGTACTGACACTTTATATTTAAAGCATACAATTTCTATAATGAAACTGTTGTTTGTTCTTAAATCTTGGAAACTTGATTTAACAGGTAAAGTTTGATTATTAAAAGAAGTTCTTATTCATTGCATATTGGTTTATAAATTACTTAGAAGATGTAATCTAAATGGCAATTAACTATACTCACGTCCCAATTAAGCATTATGAATGTGTAATGGAGTATATTTCCAGAGGGATAGTAAGAAAAGGGTGAGGATTTATCCAAGTATTTAACTAATTTTTTGTTCGTTTTTTTTTTAATTAAAAAAAAAAAAAAAAAAAAAAAAAAAAAAAAAAAAAAAAAAAAAAAAAAAAAAAAAAAAAAAAAGAAAAAAAAAAGAGAGAGAAAAAAGGTCTCTGGACCTAGCAAAATAAACTTTGCATTTCTGCTACACTTCCGAGCAACCCACTAGTTGGAAATAGATTTGTTCATGGAACTGTATTTTTAATACTAGAAAACAGGGAACTGAGAAATAAAGGCTGCAATTCAACAAAGTCTTTATAATTATGACTAATTTTGACATATAGTTTCTAATGCAGTAAACAGGATTTGGTTCAGCTATATTGCATGTTGTTTACATTCAGTGCTTGCACTAATATTTCAACAATTAAAATAGAAATGTATTTTTATGTGTACATGTGTGTACAGCTTCTGTCACAGTCCTACCACCTACTTTACTTCTAACATAAAAGTTTGAAGGTGTTTTAGTTAAGACTTTTTTTTTTTCTCAGAAAATCCTAGGAAATCCTTGTAATTTATTATGTTGATAACAAAATTACCTGTTGTTCAGCATTTTGGTATTTTTGTTTTGTTTTGAGGTTTGACTTTTGAAGGGGAGTTCTTAGGAAAGTTTGGTTGAAACAATGTCCTTAAAACAAGCTTTATTAAATTGACTGCATATTGGATCCATTTCTGTGGGCAGTTGCAATGGGTTTTGTCAACAGAAATCAATCCTAATTGGCAACATGATAATTATGGCATCCCACTTAACATGATAGTGGAGACATCTGTCAGTTTCAGGAGTACTTTTAAGGTTATTTAATAAGTTGATCCGTATGAAACATTATATTTTCTGTTCCTATTTACTGAAGCTGTATATGTTCTTCTTTCTATTATACTATAGTCCTTTGGCACTAGGGTATTTGAGAATGCTGCAGAGTCAATTGCCTTTACCTTGGCAAAGCACCAAACCTAGATACATCCCTTTCTTGTTGTTGGCTTCATGATGATTTATTGGTGTGCCTTTTCCAGGAAAATGATTGTCAAGCAACTTGTTTTTGAAATGACTTTTCGGGACAAGGATAAACATAGTGCTGTTTTAAAAGTGTCTGTCTAGAAAGTGCAAACCCACTGATTTAGGTACTGGCATATATTAGCTTTGAAGTTCGGTATATCAGAGCCTTGACCACCTCATTTGAAATATGAAACATGAATGCAATTCATGTGATGATGATATCAAACTGAAATCAAATAAAAGTTTCTGTTCAGGAAAAATGTGTTCAGATGTAAAGATGTTCTTTAATGTTCATCTGAATTGGAGAGTGTTTGCTAAAGCATTTCAAAGTCAGTCAAGGTCTAGCAGAAGTTGTTTTGATTGTTGTATAAATCTCTCTTTTTAAAATATAATCATATGCAGGGCTTCTCCTTCCTTTCAGTTAACCACTAAGGAATAATCACAAAGAAGGAAAAGAAGATTTTTTTTACTTACTGTATCAATAGGAAATACATAATTTTGTCTATGAACTTCCATGAAATACTCTTCACAAAGTTGTGATGATGCCAGATGGACAAACGAGATCCATGGCATGGTGTGAAGCCTGATGACAGGGAGAAGCTGCCTCTGAAGACTTAGGCTAAACCCAAAGCTGGAAGGGTCACACTGGTGCATGGGCTGTAAAATAAAGATCATATCCCCTGTGCAAAGACCTATTTCATGCACTTTCCACTAGAGAACCTCAGAGAGTAATGTAAAGAAGGGCCCTCAGCACTTCCTTTGTTAGGAGTCTGTCTCCCCGTGATGATACCTGTCCTGTCCCTGCAGCTCTTCAGAGCAAAGACCTTCTATCCCATTTTTTTGTACCAGCATAAAACGGTTCATTCTTGGTTGGTTTCTCAATTAAAAAATAAACACTGATGATAAATTACTGAGCATCAACTGAGGTACAGCCACTTATATAAACCAAATGATAATACGGTTCACTACATTTAATGGCATTTAAAGTTGTTATTTATAACAACTCCTCCCTTTACGTGGAAAAAAAAGTGTGCACATTAACAATTGAAAATGAAAACAAAGGTGAAATACATGACATTCTCTTAAAGGTAATTCTATGATCTTTTTAACATGACTTCTCTGATTAATTATCTTGCAAATCTAATTCAAATCTAATCCTTTGTGAATAAAAATGCACAATCATTCCAGCAGCTGATGTTGATAAATACAAGTAAAATGTGACTCACAGAAGGGAACTGGAAATTTCAGTGGACATAATACATGTTTGGATCCCTATGGCTGCATGCTTGAAACCTTGATAAATTGAAACAGCAACACTAAACAGTAGGTAAAGGGATACTGCCTACTGCATCTCTGTTCTGTGAACAGTAGTGTAGAGCACACCCCATAAATGAAGATATTTATTGATAAGCTGTGAGACAGTGATTAGGCTTTCCATTTGACTCCCATGATTTAAAAACTCCTCTGCAACCTGAATGATTTGATAATACATACAGGTGAAGCTTAAAACCATTGTTTTGATATGTATGTGTTCTGGTACATGTGCTCAGATATGCAATGAAGATTGAAATAAAATCTCAATACTTTTTAATTTCTAATTGGTTTTGCAAGTATATTTGTTGTTTTTATAGCCTCGGGAAATTTTTGCATTTTACCTTATTATCTTACTTCTTACCTGCAGAATCAGAGTTCAACTGATATAGTCACAGTTAGAATCAAAAGAAAATATTATTAATATGGGTGGGCTATTGCCTGTCTAATTTTCTTATTAGAAAATCAAGGAGCTGAATGGCACGGATCATGCATTTTAATTAGTGCCAAGGGATTTCTTGCCACTTAAATGCAGAAAATCAGAATATCTTCAGGTTTTTATTCTTTGTGAGTGCGTATGTGTTTCCTGAAACTGATTACTTTGTTCCTTTTTAGTCATGAGACACAGACAACTTGTTGGGATCATCCTAAAATGACTGATCTGTTCCAGTCCTTAGGTGAGTGCATTTCTTAAAATAAAATATTATGTGATTTTTATTCCATGAGTAAAAACTGCATTTGTATAATGACCATGTTTGAGTTACCACGAATTGTGTGTAACAGCATTTCCTGCTTTGCAGTGAGACACGGTCTGCATGAAACCTGGTGCCTTGGTCATGTCATGTGTATTTTCTTTTGCTAATACTAATTCTGAACAATATGCTCTGTATACTTTAAGGCAGTACCTAGTTTCTTTTCTTTTATCTTCAAAAGGAATTGTCCAGTGATATAGGCTGCCTGCATGTTCAAACCAGGATGCTGGTCTGCAAGGAACTAAATTTTGTAATAAATTAGAGGAGCTATGCTTTCAGTAAAGGCTAAACTGTATTATGATACAGTTCAGTGTGCCCTGATAGCATGAGCATTTACTGTGAAATCTCCCATTCTAAGGAGAGAAAGGCTAAAAATACTGTTAATTGAGGGAAAAAAAGTTACTGTACCAGTTTCTAAAATAGAGCTTACAGCTATCTGACTGTCCCTTTTGAAGCACTGCTTACAAAGTAATGGCATAGAAATTGTGGCTTAAAAAAACCCTTTTTTTCTGTTACTGTGACATTTGCTGCCCCCCGTTTCCTGTATGTTATCTGATGGAGTTGTAAATTATTTGCAAAACATACTGTATTCGAGCAGTTGTCTGGAAACTATGAACCAGTGCATAAAATGTTTGTGGAACTCTATCGTATGTATATGTATTACATGTGCCAAGCTAGTGTTTCTAGCTTGTTTCAAGCCTGTGTTTCTAGGAATTCTGGGGTGCCAATCTCTTAAGGTCCTGGACTATGAGAGTCAGGAGGCTTTCCCTGCAGGTGAATTGGACTGGGATCCCAACTCGTCTGTTTTTTTAATTTGCTCTGATATATCCTATTAATTCATTGCAGATAAGGGATAACAGACTTCTTCTAAAATATGAAGATTTATACGTAAACGAACATTATGGACTCTATATTTAGGGCCTCTCATATTTCTGTTCTGCTGTTTCAGCTGACTTGAACAACGTACGATTCTCTGCCTACCGTACAGCCATCAAAATCCGGAGACTGCAGAAGGCACTGTGCTGTGAGTTTGGCCTTTGGGACAAATTGTTTCTCTACAGTACTTGGAGGAGGGAGGGTCGTCTTCAGTTTAACAACATTAATGTTTAGCAGTGGACAAGATTTCATCCCTGGCACATTGTCAATCAATAAAATGGCAGAAAGAATTGCCAATAGGAGGTGTCATTATTGCAAGTAAATGAAATAAGTTAGTAAAGAAAGAGTTACAGCAGGTAAGTTGAAATGGTATGCCCACTAAGAATGCTTTGAGAAGTGATAGGGAAATAGATTTTGGACCTCTTGAGTATTTCATACTGTTCCTGATACAAGTTGGTACAAACTGATGTGGAATGAGCTAAAGTCCTGACCTGTGACATAAACTCAGGTATTTTATTATATTTTAGAGAGTTCCATTCCATGCTGTGTGAACTTCAATTAAAGAGATGTTCAGGCTGCCCAAATTGCGAAGGAAAAGGATACAGATCTGTGTAGTTGGTATTGTTGTTCGTTTTAATCACAAAAAGCTACTAGGACAGAATAAACTACTATTATTAACAGCAATAATAGTATGTGTATATATGCATGTGCAATATGGGTAACGATCTTAAATTTAAATGGGAAATAACAATGCATTTAGTATGCTCATTGGATATTCTGCCCAAACCTATTGACATTTGTTCCTGTTCCCAAGCAATCTAATAATTCAGCCACAGTGCACTCCAAAGTGCACATATATTTTGTCAGTAAGAAAGTATAGGTGTCTACTGAGTAGTCTCAGTGACTTCATTTCCAAAGTTGACATTTGTATCTCCAATTTTCTGTTCTATATTTGCTAGATATTTAAAAAAGCATTTCATATTATATCACAACTATGTTTTTAATTCACCAGCAAGTTGCGTGACTACCATGTTCATTCAAAGTTTAGCAGCCTCAGAAGTGGTAGGTCAGGAGATCTGCTGGTCTTTGGACTTGGAACTTCTCCAAGTCACATAACATATTACACTGAGGTTCCCTGCTCTTTCTGAGTCTCCTGTGCAAAGCAAACTGAATTTTAAATATTATTAAGACTATGAATGGAAAAGCAAATACATAAGAACACACATCTACCAGTAGGAAAATAGGGTGAAGTAGAAAAAGCAAAAGGAAACTGGAAAATTTTTGAAGGTTATGTGGGATGTGAATGAGTGTGAAGATTGCAGATTTTAGACCTTTTGGAAGGTCTTGGCAACAGAGGGTATAAGGATGTTGAAAGACATTAGCAAATTTTCTTGTTGTAAGTTAGGAATCCTTGCTGTGGAAGGACTTTTCAGCCCTGAAGGGTGTACGGTACTGCAGTATGAGTAGGAACAGAAGAAGTGCAAAGCCATCCTAAAGGTGCAAGCAAGAAAGGAGTTGCACAAAGAGGGGTCCTTACCCAACCTCCAGGTGATTAGTTTCCTTTACTGCCTAGAGGACAGCAGGCTGATCTTCAGATGTGTGTCATACTAAATGAAGCTGTGCCTAAGATGATAACTGGCTACTCCAGAAAACTAGAGTGTATCTGTGTACAGCACAGGCTCTTATGAGTACCTCTCACCTCTTCTTCATATGCTGTTCTGGCTTCTCCCAGAATTTCTAATCAAGTTCAAGATCTTAGATTCAAGGTTTTACACCTGGGAAAAAACAGAACCTGTCCTTTGAAAAATTGTCTGCTGGTTTTGAAAGAAAAACTTTTCCTTTGGCATAGCCTACACTTCTTTGTGCAAGAGATGTGGTCCCATTCAAAACCATAGATTCATCTCCCAGCAAGACTAAAGTCCATTATGAGCTTTCCACTTATCAATGTACAGAGTATAAAGTATTCATCAGCATGTACCTGAAAACAAAAAGCAAAGCAGGAAATCAGAAAGCAAGCTAAAATTCTCCTTGTGTATGCTGCTCCTCAGGGAAAAGTGTGAAAAAACAGATGGAACATGACAGATGCTAATCACGCTGCTTATTTCTGACAGGCATACAGATTGTCTAGTGACCTTTATAGACCAGACTTCACTTTCATTACTTCCATAGGCTTTGAAGAGGGCCATACTTTCTGCTCTTTTACTAAAAAATATATCCATTTCTGTGGTAAGTTCCATGGGTAGCTCTCCTACTTCACAGTTTTCAGAAGTGCCTTTCTATCGTCTCGAGTTTCAGGGAAGGGAGGTGGAAGAAGAGGACAGAAGGAAGTAGGAATAAGTAAAGAGAATATGCCAGTTTGAAAGAACCGGGAGTAAAATTTCTCATTTCTACGGATCCAATCTGCCTTATCTATGAAACTGTTTGTTTGCTTCATCTCTATGCTTTGTGGGAAGAGACAACAGCTAAAAATACTTTGTCTTTATTATACACCCATACCTGACAAAGGATTGATGTAATTTGTGAAAACACAATATTGTGGGTTTTTAAGGAAGACATTGCAGATTATCCACAAAGCTTAATGCTAGTGGAATTTTCTCTTTCTGAACAGGAACTCATAATGATCTGGCACAACTTTAAGACCACCTTCAAAAATATAATTGGTGCTGTTCCTTTTGTCATTGTTCACATAACTGATAAGTTCTTGCTAGAGAATATGTCAAATTCCCTTTGACTGCAATGATTCTTAGCCTGATTCTGTCCCATAAATGGCTGAGATAGCAAAAAAGCAGCATGTGCTAGCACCTCCTCTCTAAGAAGAGGAGACTGGTTCAGCACTATCTAGAATTTCTTGACTTTTATTTGTTAGTGGTTTTGTTTTGAGGGAGGGAAAGAGTAATCTTCTGTGCCACTGCTATTCTTTCTTTAGTCTGAGTTACTTTAGTTGTCCATTGTATTTCTTGTATTTTTATCTGTGGATGCCTTTTAAAGGTGTTTGGATGCAGAATGCTTCAGAAAGGCTTACTTACTAAGGCAAAGAAAATGTCAAAACAAATCACCACAAATGGAGATCACTGTAAAATACGACAAATTGCTGTCACAGCCACAGTGTGTGTGTGTATAATGACAAAGGCCTTTTTGGTGGGAACTTCAAGGTCACAGCTGGAACTGGGTGCACAGTCCTACTGGCACCTGATAGATATTGACTTTGCAGTGGGGACTGATAATGCAGTGTTAGTGCTATACAAACAGGTTCAGGAGTTTCTAGTTTGAGAACTGTACTTTAGAAAACTTTGCTAAGGCCATATCTGTCTTCTGGGTAAGTGTCAAAACCCCATGTTTCTGATGAAGTTGTTTACTCCCATTTTCCTCATTCTCTTTTTGAAATAGGAAAGTAGAGTTATGTTTCATCTTGTTTTTTGGCAGGTCTCCTGCAGAGACATACGTGTGCATGTACCTGCATTGTGCAGGTATATAAGAAGGTTGTGAGTTGAAAAGAATAAATCCTTAGCCTCTCTGTCTCTGATTATGTGGGGCAGATTTACTGACAGTGCTTTCCCACTGTAGCAGAAGAATGGGGCCAGAGAGGGTCCTGTGTTGCAGTTGTACTGGGCAGCTATGCAGCACCAGATCCTGACTACAATATTTTATTGTCCAGCATACTTTAGCTCATTTTCAAGAAATTATAGTGCCCCAGATACTGAAGTGTTTTACTGAAAGGCAAAAAAGGAACAAAATCACCACGTATATTCAGAATTCTGTCGCTGAGTTCCTCTAGGTGATTTAAAATTTAAGAATGCTAATAGGAATATCAACCAGACAAGTTGAAGAAACGGAACATTTAGGCACATGGGACTAAAAGCGAGAGCTGTGAGCATTTCCCTCAGTGCAGTCTCTTTGCAGGAAATTTACATTTCTGCTATCGTTTACAAGATCTTTTTAATACAAGAACACCACAGTAGTAGTGCCTGACTATTTTCCGTGGGATTACAGCAGCCTCAAGTTTGCCATTAGCAGCTGCATATAGTTACTTGCTGCTGAATCAGTCACATCTGCTTTAACAGTGCTGAATTATATGGTTTCTGTTAATAGTTTTTCTATGGGAAGATCTCCTTGCTGCAGAAAGGAAAGAAATGGTCCTTGTGCCCATTTGTTGGTTAAAAGCAGGACTGGTCATTCAGCACATTTCAGCAGTTGCAGAATGGTACTGCACAAATGCACTGAAAACAGTGTGGGCGTCATGCCAGAAGTGGCGTGACAGGATAACTGCCTGTACCCAAAGTTTATTTAGCCAGGTGATTGCTGAAGTAAACAGGGATGGAAGTAACTTCCTCTGGTTGTTTTCCATGGGTGGTGTCATCCAAAAGTGTAACTTTAGCTTAATTTGCATTAGTATAGCAGCAGAGTTTTCTTTTTTAGTGCAAGAATACTGAAAATTCCTTTCCCAACTCCCTCTGGAATACTTTGGCAGAAATGTGAATGTGAGACCTTAATGCCAGCAGATCAAGATGAGAAGATAGCAGGCTTAGTGTCTGTTGGACTGCTGTTCTCAGGGCAAGGATGGTTGTGTTAAGCCAAACCCAAAGGCTACAACTTTCTGGCATTCCAAAGCTTTCCAAGTTTATTCTGGCTTTAAAAAGGGCAGCTTTTGGATGCTGGGAGTCTGTTTGTGAAGCTTTCAGCCAACCATTAAGTACCTTCCAGAAACAAAACCAAACCCAGCAAACTGGCTGCAAAAATTCTGGGTTTTTTCTTCCCCCCTGTATAGGTCATGAATGAAAAAACCTGAAAAGTGGCTATCTCCTGAGCTGAGTATTTATGTGATTAGATAGCAGATTATAGTTTTGCACTTGGTTTCACCCTACTCCCTCCACTGCTCCAAAAAGTCGTCAAGGTTACCTTTTGACCTGTGCGTAGACTTGTTTTGTTTTTAAATATGCCTTTTCCAGTGTATTTCCAGCTGCTGTAGAAGATTATGCTGTAGTGAGCGTACTGCGAAATACTTCATGTACCTCAGGTCACACTAGTGGCAAGGTGTTTTGCTGCAATTACCAGTCTGCCTCTTTGATAAATACATGACTGGCATTTGTTTGCAAGCCCGAGAGATGGGCTTAAGAAAACCTCAAACAAACAAACAAAAAAGAAAATTAAAAGCAAACAAATGTAAACCCCCTGTAAATCTGGTGCTGTAAAGTTAGAAGAGAATGTACCAATATTAGTGCAGGGGAGGAAAAGCAAGGGCTGTGAGGTACTGCTTCTCATTTTATGGTGAAGTACCTACTTGTTTTCCATCCCAAGCAAGACTTACCTGATTTACATGGACTGCCCTTCTAGGGTTCTTATTTAACACTGTTATTATCCCACTCTGCTCTGCTCTTGTGATACCACACTTAGAGTACTGTTCTCAGCACAAGAAAGATGTGGACTTGTTGGGGTGGGTCCAGAGGAGGGCCTTGAAGATGACTGGGAGATGGAGTGCCTCTCCTATGAGGACAGACTGAGAGAGCTGAAGTGGTTCAGCTGGAGAGAGAAGGCTCCAGGGAGACTTTTAGCAGCCTTCCAGTACCTTAAAGGGGGCTTATAAAAAAGAGAACAGGTAGTGATAGGACAAGAGAGAGCGGTTTTAAACTAAGAGAGGAGACATTTAAATTAGATGACAGAAGGTGGTGAGGCCCTGGAACAGGTTGCCCAGAGAAGTTGTAAATGCTCCGTCCCTGGAACTGTTCAACGCCTTGTTGGATGGGGCTTTGAGTAACCTGGTCTAGTGGTTCTCATCCCTGCCCATGGCAGGGGGGTTGGAACTAGGTGCTGCTTAAGATCCCTTTTAATCCTAGTAATTTTGTGATTCTGTTTGTTCTATGACTATTGGTGTAGAGCAATTCACAACAAAACTGTCATGTTGGGTTTCTTTCCTTTGAAAGATGGCATTTATAGTGCAAATGTGTCAATGACTCTTCAGAAACTGCTCAGTATGAGCTTGAAATATACTTCATGTTGTTTATACTGCATCAAGCATGCTAATACATTGCAACTAATTTTCTTACTGAAGTACTTGCTTCTATAAAAAAAAGTCACTGAGAATTATGCCATATATGTTTGCTCTCTTCCACTTCCTTTTGCAAAAGGAGTCTCAAAAGAATAGTTTTTATTTTCACCATACAAGCCCCAGATTTTCACAATGAAATTTGGGTGGTTTTGCAGCAAAATCCTTTTAACCTGTAAGATATCCATAGCATCACCAACTGCTGATACAAAGAATCCTGTAATAAAGGAGATCAAAATGTTTTTTGTGAAATCATACTATTTAGTGTTCTGGAAAACTACAATAAATAATCTCCCTGTGTCCCTCTCCCTGCTTTCTTTTAAGCCCTAATTTGGCAACTGCTGTTCAGTTAATCAGGCCTCAGTACCTTGTTAGTGCATTTAAGAGAACATTGCTACCTGAGGATTTGCTTAGCTTTAAATTTAATCAAAACTGAGAGTCATTTTATGGGATTCTGCTTTATGGTCAATGTGAAGAATCGTGTAAACCTAATGTACTCTGTGTGCATCTCAAACAAGGATATTCTAATTACATAGACTACTTCAGCAGCTATTTTAATGCTGTTGTGAGATGTGCAGTGTCATTATGGTGTTCTTATTCTATTTTTAAATATATAGCACTAAATGCTGTTGACTAGTCACAGAGAATGGCTTGTCACTCTAATGTTACTAAGCGAAAGCTAGTTAGCTAATTTTCTGCAGTGTTTGCTACAATGCACATGAACGAGTATTGTCAATGCTATGCTCAGGCTTCTATATTCACACCTTTTTTCTTTTTTTTTCTTTTTCTTATTTTTTGGGTTTTTTAATCACCTGCTGTTAGTGGACCTATTGGACCTGAACACAACAAGTGAAGTTTTCAAACAGCAGAAGTTAAGTCAAAATGACCAGCTGATTGGTGTACAGGATGTGATCAGCTGTCTTACTGCTATCTACAGTGGACTTGAAGAGAAACACAAAGATATGGTGAATGTTCCACTCTGTGTAGACATGTGTCTTAACTGGCTACTCAACGTGTATGATAGGTAAGTAAAAAGGTTTTAGTCACAGTGTGTACCCCATGAATTTAATATAGTATTAACAAAGTATGCATCATGGAGACAAAATTGGTAATTTTTGCACATATGACTTGTCAAAAATGCTAGGCTTATAGGAGTGTTGTATAGGAGTGTTTTCTGAGTTACTTTCTTGAGCAAGTGCTCATAATAATAAAAAAATGATAAAGCCTTAAAAAGTTATTTCATAAAAAGTTATGTATTTTGATATTTTTGACTTGATAGTGAAAAAGTACAGTTGTTTGCAATGAGATGTTTCTTATGCCATCCTGCTCAGATACGCTGAACAAAAGGTACACTGCTTTTATACTACCAGAAAAACTTTGACAGGTTTTCAAGAAATGTATACATGAGTAGACAGCTAGATACACTGCTTTAACTGTGTTCCTGCTATAAACGTTCCAGATTTCCCAGATTGTTTGCCATTCATACCAGATTCTATTTCTGCCACAAGTATCGACAGTTTTGTTGTTTGTTTTACACTTAATTATTTGCACACCATAATGCTGGCTGAGCTCCCTATCCTCAGTCCTCTGTGGAGTGGAGGTTTTTCTGACCTCAGCACTAAAGCCTGTCTGATTCCGGAGGGTCAGCAGTGTCCTTGCTCACTTTCAGCAGGTGCAGCTCCTGCTATGTGTGAATTCTGAGGGCTGGTGTTATGTAGTCTACCTGCCCTCATCCTGGCGACAAACATGTATTTCCCCAGGGGACTGTGAGTTTTCCTCAAGAATGTTTTGGAATGCTTACAGTAAGAACTTGTACCCTGCCCTGTGCTATGTCAGCCTACATGACCTACAAGCAGTATGCTTTTATTTAGTTGTGCTTTTGAGTCACGAGTTTGTTCCTCATTTTTCTAGATATTAGAATTATTAGTTATTAATGGCATTCACTATCCTCATCTCTGGTCTGTAGTAAAACCTGGGAACAGACATGATTTCTATCAGCTCCTCCATGCCCTATAATGTCTTTTTACATTCCTTCAGCAAAGGCATTTCAGGACTACTCTGGAGCTAATGCAGTAGTGCAGTGCATGGTGTGGTCGCTTCAGTGTGTCTAGTTGAATGTGTGCTTTAGTTTGGAGTTATACACAGAATTACAAATCAGAATTTCTAAGCCCCATGAGGTCGGTTACAAAATTTATTTCCCTTCTCCCTATTTGAAGATGAAAAGAGTAAAAGTATTTCTTGAATAGTAATAAAAATTCTTATACCTGGCTTTGCAAAAGAGAGCTGTTACTTGTAGATTTATGCATTATCTTCACTGTGTTCGCTCAGTTAATCAGTGCCACATTCATAGCTTTTTGCTTTTTTTCCCCTCAGAGGATTACACACCATTTCTTCTATTTTTTTTTTGTTTGTTTGTTTTTGTTTTATATTTTGCTTTATTTTGGGTTTAGGGGAGAGGGAAGGAGGGAACAGAGTACGTAGAACCATTTATCATTTTATATGCTGACTACTTATGCTTTGGCATTTGAATATTGCTGTTAAATATTGTGACATTTCTGTTAGTCAGACTCCTTGTCATTACTGATGAAAAATTGGAAAGTCCATCAAGAAATAACTGGGAGTTCTTCCTGCAATTATTTTTATTTTGTAGGGTTCTGTATTGTGACTGATATATCACTTGCAAATAGAGCAGATCTGCTTGACTTAAATGTTATTGACAGTTTAGAATAAGAGATTTAATAGTGTCACAGAATTTTTTACGGTTACTGATTGGGGTTGTTTTTTTTCAGACTGACCACAAATCGATTGCCTTTGCTTCATAACTTCAGTTAGAAGTCAGTTGTTTAGTCTGTTCATATTTAAAATGCACCTAATAAGCAGAAAACCTTTCCTTCAATAACATTTCCTTTTTCTCCCATTTTCCCTTGATTATTATGTTAAAAACTTAATGTAGATAATTCTTTGAGCTGATGAATTACTTTAATCTTCATTCAAACTTTGAAAAATGGAGGATGAAGGTTTACTGAGAGAAAATTACTTTTTACAGTGTGTTTCCTTGTTCCCCTTTCAAATTCACTCCAGGATGAAAAAAAAAATGCTAAAAATCCAGGCACCAAATTTATGCTGGATTTTTTGGCTTTGTTTTTTAAATTGACCTTCAGGAAAGAGCTGGTTTCTGTCTTGGTATTTCCATTTTTTATTGCATGGGTGCTACACATATACAGTGTTTCAAATTGTTAAACTGCCTACAAAAGGCATCTGTTAGTTGCATGCTGTTAACCTGAGATTTAATTACGTATTCACAGATTAATAACAAACTGAGTAGTTTTCCAGACTTGATCTGCAGATGTCTTTGACCCTTAAGCCTTTTGGCCCTTTTACTTCTTCAAGGACTCAGAAGTTGTTCCAGACATCAACATCTGCCCTAATAAACAAATTCCAAACTTTAAGTTCTTTGTTTTGTCTAGTCCAGAGATTTTTTATTTTGTTTGTAAATACGCTTAAAGATAAGTGTCTTACATATTTACAATGAGCGCTGTAAGGAAATTGTTTTAATTGTTTGCTCTATAAAATCATTTGACTAGGCCTGTGTTTATAGCATCCAAAAGCAATAGCTGCTGGTTATTCTTTTGGACTATATACTATCGAATTTGCTAAAATCTCCAGACGTCATTTCTATAAAAAAGACTGATACCTTTCAGTACTAATGGAATAACTCAACATCCCTAGAAATGAGATTTTTCTATATGTACTGGGCAATTCTGGGCAATGACTCATTTTAATGAGAATTACCCATAAAGAAACTTCTACGTGCACTGTTTTTAATGTATTACAATGTTTATCTGACTTCCTGTATCTCAACTTTTAAATTTTCTTGTTTTTTGGTTGTTTTGGTTTTTATGTTGTTGCTTTTTTTTCATGTTAGGATACTTTTGATAATACCTTCTTTTAAATTGAATTTCTTTGGCACATTAGTCTAGGAAGGCTGTCTATGGTATCTATGTCAACATTTTCCATATGATCAAAGCTGTCTTTCATGATCATTCTCTATGGCCCAATCTATCCCTGAAGAACTACAACTTTATTATTTATTGTTGCTCTGATACACCTGGCAGACTCTAACACCAGGCTGAGTTAATAACCCAGGCCTTATCAGCGTGTTCATTTCAGTAAAATCTGAACTTGTGAGGAATGAGAAAGATGAGATACCTGCTCAGTCAGCCTTAGCTTTATGCCCTGGTTTTGACAGTAGCTGATGGAAGTTTTCTGCATGCACTCCAATTGCATCCCCTGAGTTGATGATAGCTGTTTTGATTCATGGAGTACTCAGTGAGAAAAGCTTTAGCAGGCTGTGATAGCAGTAAGAAGACTTTGGGAAGGAAATGGCTGTCTGTAGGGCAGGAAAGTGTGGGTGATGAAGAAGAGGCACCTGTGAGGACCTTCACTGATCTAACAGGCTGCCTTCTGTTGCTGGGCTATGTAGATATGGGCTTAGTTGAGTGTCAGTGTTGTCCAGGCTTGAGAGCTCTTTGACAAGAGAAGTCTGAACTGCAGTGGGCTCATCTTCATTCTCTAGTTTTCCCTGGTAACACCTGATGTTTTTATGCTATTGTCCCTCTTCCCCCAGTGACATAGGGTCCCTCTGGACTTCATATTCTAATTTTGTTTTCTGTTGATTTTTCAGTGATCCTTAATCTTTAAAAAATACTACAGACTTTGTAACTATTTATATAATTTTTTGAGAAAATGCTTTTTGTGTGAAGAAAGTTTCTCACAGATCCTACAGTGATCTGCTGAAATCAGGAGAAGCTTGAAGCCTCTGCATATCTGATGTGGAGAGCTAAAAGCCCTGATCTTTCAGCTGCAAAGTTTTTCTGAGCTTCTGTCTTTAATAAACAAATTATATAATCAGTCCTGAGTTAAATCAAATCCAAATGAATGTTCAGCTTTTTTTTTTTAATGATTATAAGGTTAAAACACAGACAACCCTACACAGCAAAGAATGGGAAAACACCTTTATCAAGGTGTAAAATGAACCATTTAGATGGTAAGGTGTGCCAGAATGATGTAGTGTCTGTGATTGATAGAGGTAATTTTAAGGTAAGCTTGAATATATAAAATAGATGGCACTTTTATAACAGTCTGGAAAATTGGGTCCTGATTTTCCAACTAGGTATTAAAAGTAATGGGTGTTTTTGATTCATTTGGCAGTAATTTTTCTGTACCTCTGCTCCAACTTGTGGAATTAAGAAGATAATGCTGTCTAGTCTTACTAGATTAGGTGATGATTGCAAAGAAAAATGCATTAATATTTGTACGTTGCTTAGCTAATTTTTCAAGAATCCAGGAATAAATTAATATTTTTGTATTCAGCACAACATTTGTGAAGTAAATCAGACAGCAGGCCATATGTTGAATGGTTAAGATAAAAAGAGATATGTAACAACCAATCCCAAAGTAATTAACATATATATCACTTCCATGTGACAGAAAGAACCAAAGTAATGTTTGAGGTGATATTAAATTTAGTGTTATCTTACTTGCTGGTTAGGGAGCCAGCTAATCTTACGTGTGCAATATATACAATTTGACTACTATTATTATGAATTCTTTTTGCCACATCTGATTTGAAGACAAATTTTATCATGGTTTTTGGTTTTTGAAAGAAGAAATAATTCATAAGAATATGTTTCTGCACTGATATTTTGAACTTTAAAATTGTCCTTTTCCATGTAACCCGGGTTTTTTGCTTTAGAATGTGTTTGAACGGTGTTTGTCTTGCAGGCTTAACATTACTCACTTTGATACCCACTTACCTGTTCTCAAGTTACTTTTTCAGTTTGGATGTATTTTTTTTCATGTTGAACAAGATGAACCTGAAATTACATGGCTTAGAAACAACAACAGCTCCGCGTCATTGAATTAGTGTGCGTGGTTGCCTATTTATGTCCTGATATTACATGTATGTTAGAGCATTTTAAACATAAAAGAAAAAAATTAGGGAAAAAAGAGAATGAATTACTGTGATATGAAAACTTGGTTTTATTTTGTAGTCCTTTTGTTTCACACTGAGTAATAGCTTTCCTGCTGTGTGCTCATGTATTTTTCCTGTGTGTATCACATTATTGAATCACATAGAGAGCTTTACAGAGCTAATCGTTTGGTCCTTTGGAATAATATGTGTAAACTGCTTAGGAGGCAAGCTGAGCTTTTCTAAGGGAACAATTCTTAATGTGATTTGTAGTGTTAATTTCTTTTCTTTTTTTTTTTTTTTTTTTTTGAGATTTGAAGTATATTTGAAGTAGAAGTTACCAATGTCTTCATATTTTTAATGAACTTGAATTGGCGTGAAATAAAATTAAACTGTGTTAAATGGTCTTCTCTTTATAATTTCAGTGGCCGAACTGGAAAAATTCGAGTGCAGTCCCTGAAAATTGGCTTGATGTCTCTTTCTAAGGGCCTTCTGGAAGAGAAGTACAGATGTAAGGAAGAATTTGTTTTACAAAATACTTTGTATAATTAAATCATGTACAATGAAAAAACATATTGTAGCAAAATTTGAAGTGTTTTTCATGCCTGTACAAGGCAGTTTTCTTGTGTGTAAGTAAAATAGTATTGTTTTCATTATCATCAGTGACAATGGAGAAAGTAGTATTTATATCTTGACTGGAAAGTATTGATGTCAATTCTGCTCATCATAAGTCACAGTACTGCAGAAAAGGAGAATATAGCTGTGTGAAAGCTAATGAAATGTTATATTTGACCGAATCTGTTCTCTCTCTTGTGTGTTTATATGTTTAGTTTAGGAAAAAAATCAAGCAAGTCAATGCTGATTGCATCAGATTGCTATGGCTGATAAAGCAAGGAAATACATCAAAATCCAGCAGTTGTATTTAATAGTCTATGAGAAAGATTATCTGAACTCTGAAAATTGTTTTCCACTATATGTGCTTTTTGCCAGAAATGCACAATGAAAGTTTAAATTATGCTGCTTTAAGTAATCTCACAAGCTTCAGAAATACTAAGTAATATAAAAATACTTCACAAAAATAATTTCAGGAGCAGAAGAGAATTGAGTAACTTTGTGGCAAACTCCCCTGACAAATATAGAAAAAAGATGAAGCATTATATTGGAGCATCCTAGGTGATGGATATTTACATATCATGCACATTCATCTTAAAATTGCTGTTCTTTGCGGTACTTCCTTGACTCATTTTGGAAACACATGAAAAATTTATAGAGACTGAATTTGCTCCATGTACCTTTGGAGCTCTGCAAAAATTTCTGCATTCCTTAAGAGCACTTGTAGGCAATCTTATAATCTTTGTTATTAATGTTGAGCAAAAGTACGTGTCTAATGCATTGGGACATATTTTGACATTTGAATGGCATATTGAGGCTTTGGGTTTTTTAGTTTCCTTATGTCATTTGACATATATGTGAATTATTCCATAACTGGAGAAGGTTGATGGACATACCTTTGTTCAGTAGTGACAATTTAGGGAGTAATCTACCATTTAGTGTGAAAGAAAAAGCCTTCCTAAAGTACAGGAGTCAGGTTGTGGATAACAAACTGATAACCTTTTCAAAAGATGGTTTTAAAAAACTCCAAAACCTGAGAATAAACTCACATTAAATTGCTATTGGTAATACATTAGTATGTTTACAGTTACCGAATGCAGGCACTGAAGTAGAACAAAGAAATTACTAGGTGTGATTAATTTTTCTGTTATTGCTTTGTGTTTAGTAGTAAAATAAACGTGGCAGCTGATTGTGGCTACAGATTTTACATCGTCTGTGCTAAAAGCATGGAATTTTTTTTCTGAATAATGCTGTGAAAAGTCCTAAAAAATTTAGTACAGAATAAGTCTCAGAAGACTTTTGTACCAAATGATCATAACTTCAACCTGAAATACATCTGAAATTAAAGTAGTTGCTTGGGTTCTTAAACAGAGAATATTAGTCCAATAATGCATCAGGGTTTTTTTTGTAACTCCTGTGATCAGGAGCTTTGATTATTTTTCAGCTTTATTGTCCTTATGAATCTTGAAATTGTCACCAGAAAACTTCTTAAATCTGAAAGAAATTTTGCTAAAGAGGGAAGGAAGTAACAGTGTTAGGATTGGTTCTTGACTTGCAGTGGCTTTGCAGTCAGTGTTTTGGGGTCCTCTGGCACCAGCTTTGTGCCAAAACTTAATCTTTAGTGTGAGCTCCTTTGCTTCTTTTGATTTTTGTCACACCCTTCTAATCATCTCTTTTTGAGAGAAATCTTGTTTTACCTACTGAGCTTTCAGATACTTAAGTGAAAACTGTGATGGAAATCCTAAGTATTTTCAAGAAAGTCAGTGACTTGGAAGAAAGAGCAGGACCTCCAAACATGGGTGCCGTCTGATTTTTCTCTTTCTCAGACCAACTCCTGACACTTGCTTCTCCTTTTGGCTATGTTTCTTCTAATCATTTAGGAAGCATTGGAGTTCCAGGCTCCTCTGAGTGACAGTCATCATATGGTTGTAGTTGGAGCCCTTAGCAGAGCACAGATTGTGCCTTGAATGTTGTAGCGTTAGAGAAGCTTAGAGTACTTGGTAGTAAAATAGGCAACTTCGTTGTTTTGAAAAAACTTTTAAATGAACTCTTCACTCTATTGTAAAACTGTTGAGCAGAATGTCTGCTCAAGTGTTCAGACTTCCTAGAGGCCAGACTTTTGAGGCATAATTTCAGGACTGTTGAGACGTTTGATTTTGTCACGGTTTAATCCCAGCCAGCAACCAAGCCCCACGCAGCCACTCACTCACTCCTCCACCAGCAGGATCAGGGAGAGAACTGGAAGGGTAAAAGCTGGAAAATTCATGGGTTGAGTAAAGACAGTTTAATAGGGAAAGCAAAAGCTGTGCACACAAGCAAAGCAAGGCAAGGAATTCATTCACTGTTTCTCATGGGTGGGCAGGTGTTCAACCATTTTGGGGAGGGCAGGGCCCCATCACGTGTACCTGTTACTTCAGAAGACAAAGACCATCACTCCAAATGTTCCTTCGCTTCTTCCCTCCACTTCATAGACTGAGCATGATATCATATGGTCTGGAATATCCCTTTGGGTCACCTGTCCCAACTCTGTCTTCTTGCTACTTCCTTGCCAGTGTAGCAGTACAAAAAGCAAAAAAGGCCTTGGCTCCGTGTAAGCTGTGCTCGGCAATAACAAAAACATCTCTATATTATCAACCCTTTGTTCAGCACAAATCCAAAACACAGGCCCATACTAGACGCTGTGAAGAAAGTTAACTCTACCCCAGATGAAACCAGTAGAGGTTAATTAAATAATATAATAAACTGGCAGGGGACAATAACTTCAGTTTACCAGTACGATTGACTTTCATCCTTCTCTTTTACTTTTTTTCAAAAATCAAACTTTTGTTCTTTTTTCTTGCTCTAATGTAATTCTTTTTTTCTTTTTTTCTTTTTTTTTTTTGTTTTGTTTTTTTTTTGTTTTAACAGCCACCCTCAGTTACATTTATTTTCATCAAAAATAAGAACTTTGTATGTTCATTTCCAATGCAGGTAGAATCTTTTCACTGGACGCATTTTAAAAAAAAATGATTTACCAGGGAAATTTCTGAGATTTTTTTTTTTTTAATTTAATTAAGCTACTTTTTTAGGATTCTAGACTTCAGGGTTGACATGAGAATGGATCTTTAATTAAAAGTCCCAATTACTAAAACTGCAATTAAAGAATGCCTATTCTTGGAAATTTAGGACATGCTTAATTTTAAGCACATGCCTGGGTGTTCCTGAGAATAAAAATGGACCTGCAAAAGTAGTTCAGTTGTTGTAAGCTGTTTCACATCTAATTTTGTAGGGCAAGTAGTCTAGGGCTTCTTCTCTGTTGTTGAGGCCAGTGCCTTGGTCTGGCTGTATCCCTGTTATGCTCTTCTTTCCCTTCTGACCAGAAGGGTCACTTGTGAGCTACATCAGAATGCATTTGTGTGCATTTCACTCTTACTTAGACTCATTTTTAATATCAAAAGTCCAAACTGGCAGCAGAAACAGAAAAAAAACTGTAGTGTGTGGGTTTGTAGATTTTGGGTCATATGAGCCAAATCAAATTAATAATTCATTAAATTATTAATGAACAAAAAACTGTATGACTTGAGATGAAAAAGAAGGGCTGCTTGAGAAATTTCATCTGCAAAGCATTTTGATTTTCAAATGATGTACAACATCCTTGGAATGTGGTGGGAATTTTTAACTGCTGTGTTTATCTTGGTAATTTTCAAACCATTTGGAACTTGGTAGTTAAAAAAAAAGAAATTAGAATGTACATTTTGTTTGTGACAATTCAACATAACATATATGTTGTGGACATCTTTCTACTATCCTGTTATCATTTTGGTAGGAATTAATAAACTTTACAACATTTTCAAGTATCCCTCTCTATATCAATCATTTAGTACATTTTTCCAAGCTGTCTTTCTAAGTTGCAGTTTGAGTCCCACTGCTGTCATTCTCAAAACAGTAAAGGCTAAATTTATTTAAGATTAGCTGATCTTCTTTTTTCCTAGTTTGTTTTTTTTTTCATATGACTCAAGTCTGAATAATCATTTCTCTGCTCTCTCAATCATTCTTCCTGTCTTTGATAGAGTCCCTCATATAGTTTAACCTTAATATCAATGTATTTTATGTTGAAACTCATTTAATGTTTATGTGCATGTTAGCAAACTCCATTTACAAGAGTTTATGGCTTTTGACATTGCTGGTGGGTGATGTATGGGGTCCCCTTTCCCACTGATGCAGGTATGTTGTCCAGGTGGTCCCTGTCAGAGCTGAAACAGGCTCTTCTCCAATACATTTGCCACTTGAGTTGCTCTTGCTATACCCCCTTCTCCAGGCATGGGTTATTTGAAGTAGTCAGGTAGGCCAGATAGCAAGAGCATTCTCACTTTCTATAACTTTAGTTTAGGAGCTTCTCCTCCTGTGTGCCACACTGAAGGCAATGAGGGCATTGGAAAAAGAGGATACCATCCATACCCTTGCATTTGATTACGGCACTGCTGGTGTTAAGAAACAAATAAAACTCAAGTGGAGTGTTTTGGAGGAGTTTGAGTTCTTCAAAGGTATTTGCTGGTTTCCTCCTAGCTATTCACTCTGCCTATTACCTCTCATGTCCCACAGTTTTTCCTCTATTTACCAGCTCCATAATCAACTGAAGTTTTAGGGCTTAGGAAATTACTTCATGTGCCTCCCAGCTCCAGCAGTTAATGACTTGTTCTTCTTGTAGTGCCTGTTTCCATGTAGACAGCTGCAAACAGAATAAGACAGACTTTTCCTTTGTTCCTTTTATTTTTTTTTTATGCTATCAGTTTTTTTAAGCAGACTCTTAGAAATTGAAAAACTATGCCAACCAAAGCTGAAGAAGCTAGCCAGGATCAGGGATTGCCAATACGAGCCTGCAGCTGGGCAGTACTAATTCTGTCACCACTGTTGTCTGTGGTTGTTTTTTTATTCAGCTCTGAGTTGTGAAGATGCTATAGCTGCTGTTTGACTAGGCAAGAAAGGGGTGAGAAAAATATGACAAACTTTAAAAATTATTTCAGTCATCTGCATTTTTATTTTGTGAAGATCCTTTCTTGTGCTTCCACCTCCTTTGAGAAGAAATAACATATGACTACACTATATGAAGCACGCTGACAAAACTTGACAGTTGCTCTAAGTGAAGGACAAAACAATTTACGCAGTGTAATAAGAGTTACTCTTGAGTGTTTCTGAAAAAAGCTTGTCTTTTTCTCAATCAGAAGTGCAGTCAGACTGAATTTTCAAACTTCGTTTATTTCTAATCTATTAATGGTTGTTCTAGTGGGAATGAAAAAGTACCTGAAAAAGTAGGGGAATAGTATAAATGGATTTTTTTTTCTTTTAAGATTACTTGAAGTTTTAATTCAAGCCAGCCACTGAGTGCCAAAGGAGAATGTAAAAGCCAACTGGAATAAACAGAAGAATTTAATTCCATTTCTTCTGTAATTTGTACCACTCACAGAATTTAAAAATATTTCTTAGATAAACTCAGAATATAAGATATTTTCAGGAAAGATGAACCTTGTGAATAAATGTTAATGTACAGAGCAAAATTATTGGCAGAAACATATTAAAAATTTTAGCTAAGCACTTCAACAATTAAAATTGTCCAATCTAAGAAATATGTTAAGAAAACACTTGAGAAATAATATCTGTACTGCAGACAGGCCTGCCTGTTAAATTCAGTCTTTAACTGTGACTGTAGCTACAAGCAGTATCTTCCTTCCCAGTGCCTGTAACTGGAACAATTTTCTCGATCCCTTTCAGCATCCATTTTTTCTGCCGTTACCATCATCCCAGTTCATCAATTTATACTACAGGGCTTGACACCTACCTTAGGAAAATGAAATCAGTAAAGGGAAAGGACATGGAAGCAGACATGGTTATCCAGGAAGAAAATGTGATTATTGTTAAGCTTGAGTTGTCTTACTGCCTGCTGCTCTTGCTTTAAGCTATTTCGCATGACCAGTTGTGACTTTTGGTAACTTCTAGTCTCTCTTCAAAGCAAATGTGCTCTTGTCCCCAGCCAACTGAAGGATGACATAAATTTTAGCATAAGATATGGATTTCTGAAATATTATTTCATGCTTCATAGAAATGTAAAATAGTTTGGTTTGGAAGGGACCTTTAAAGGTCATCTAGACCAACCCCCTTGCAATTAGCAGGGTCGTCTTCAACTAGATCAGGTTACTCAGAGCCCTGTCCAACCTGTCTGTGAATGTTCCCAGGGACAGAACATCTACCATCTCTCTTGGCAACCTGTTCCAGTGTTTCACCACCCTCATTGTAAAAAATTTCTTCCTTATAACTAGTTTAAATCATTTAGTTAAAAACCATTACCCCTTGTCCTGTTGCAACAGGCCCTGCTAACAGGTTTGTCTCCAGCTTTCTTTTAAGCCCCCTTTGAGTACTGAAAAGCTGCAATAAGGCCTCTCTGAAGTCTTCTTCGGTCTGAACAACTCTCAGCCTTTCTTCAGAGGGGTGGAATATCTCTCCTATGATCAGTTTTGTGGCCCTCCTCTGGACCTGCTCTAGCAGCTTCATGTCTTCCCTGTGCTGAGGACCCTAGAGCTGGAGTCAGCCCTCCAGACAGGGTCTCACCAGAGCAGAGCGTGCAAAATCACCTCCCTCAGCCTATTGGCTGTGCTTCTTCTGATGCAACCCAGGACATGCTTGACTTTTTGGGCTGCAAGCATACCTTGTCGGCAGATGTCCAGCTTTTCATCCGCCAGCACCCCCAAGTTCTTCTTAGCAGAGCTGCTGTCAGTCCCTTCATCCCCCAGCCTGTACTGATCCTGGGGGTTGCCCAGACCAAGGTACAGCACCTTGCACTCGGCCTTGTACTTCATGAGATACCCTTGGGCCCACTTCTCAAGCTTGTCCAGGTCTCTCTGGATGATATCCTGTCCTTTTGGATGCACCTGTGTCCTTCAACTGCACCACTCAGCTTGGTGTCATCTCCAGACTTGCTGAGGGTACACTCGATCCCTTTGTCTGTGTCATTGATGAAAATATTAAATAACACTAGTCCTCATACAGACTCCTGAGGGACACCACATGTCAGTGATGCCTATCAGGACTCTGAACAGTTGACCACTAATCTCTGGATGTGACCATCCAACCAATTCCTTATCCACTCACCAAATCCATCTCTCTCCAGTTGAGAGAGAAGGATGTTGTGGGCAACCATGTCAAAGGCCTTACAGAAGTCCAGAGAGATGATATCTGTAGCCCTCCCCTTGTCCACTAATGTAGTTACTCTATCATAGAAGGCCAGGCAGGACTTTTTACTGGTGAAGCTGTGCTGGCTGCCTGAAATCACCTTCCTGTCCACCATGTGCCATAAGAAGCTGTATAATTTCATTCTTTTGGCCCTATTTCTCTCATTTGTATGGTTACAAATCAAGAAAACATACTCCAAGTTACCAAGATTAGATTAGGGTAAGTGCCTGTAAATGGGACTGTGACCATGTCACCATAACTATAATAAAAACATTAAAAGCTCGAGCTGCAGTGTTACTGAATGAAAGGGGGTGTATGTGAAAATGAAATGATACGGTACCTTTTGTTGGTGTTGCAGACCTCTTCAAGGAGGTGGCTGGCCCTACGGAAATGTGTGATCAGAGGCAGCTGGGCCTTCTGCTTCACGATGCTATCCAGATCCCACGACAGCTTGGTGAAGTGGCAGCCTTTGGTGGGAGCAACATTGAACCCAGTGTGCGCAGCTGCTTCCAACAGGTACGACAGAGACCTTCATGTGAAAGAAAAACCTCTGTGAAGTCTAAAGATTCACTTGTATATGATGTAAAAAGATGAGAGGGATTTGAAAACATCCACTGAGTTTTGAACAGAAATGAATATGCCCCTGCAACTAAGTGTGGGAAGTTATTGTGAAAATGCAGCTGTAATGGTCTATGGTTTAGGACAGGATGAAACAAATTTTATTTTGCCAAAAGAATGTATAGATCTTTGTGATTTTGACAGTGTTTGCAGCTCTAAAAGCTGTTAAAAAGTTTTGTAGCAGCCAATTATCCTGCTTTGCATTGTTCAAAGCAACCCGATACTGTGAGAACGTGCTTTTCCCTGCTGAAACAAGACATGATCCCTGCTGGAACAAAAGAATGATGCTGGTAGTAATTTTTGACCTTATGAACCAGGAAATTATTTAGCATTATTTTACTGCCAAAAGAGCTTGCACTTGCATGAAACTTCAAACATAGTCATTTATATATTGTGAGCCTTTATGTAGCAGATCAGAACATGGAATAAAGCTCTTGCAGCTTGCTGTTCGGCCCTACACTACATGCCAGGGGTTAATGAGGCTGCAAGGATCATCTGTTTGTTTAAAGAAGATGAGAATTAAAAACAGGATGTTGTAATGAAACACAACTAACTGACTTTGTCAAGAATGCCTCAGCTCCAACTGTTTGCTTGTGATAGCTATACTGCTTTTGTGTGTTATTTCTGTGAAAGTGGCTGATTTGAGCATCATCAGAAATTGTATATGGATTAAAAATTCCCTATGGTGTGTAAAATTACTGACTTGAATATTTCTGACTCTGTTGAATCTAACATTAAAGATTTTAGGGACCCTTTAGAGTATTTTTCTTTCACCATTGTTTCATAGACATTTCTGCATTTTTGTCCAGTGCTTTGAAAAATGCAGTTGCGCTAACTTTTTTCAGAACTGTTGGTTTTTGGAGTCAGGTGATTAGAATCGGAAGTGTGTTTGTCCAGGTTAAGAATAATTTGGTAGATACTTATGGAAGTTGATTTGACCCATTAACCATGTAAAACTTACCCTTATGTTTTACCACTGCTACTTCAGACAATAAGGGATGATGCTCGACATGTCTATCACTGGCCTTGAGTGGTTCAAGTCATACTGAAATATTCAGTTGTTCATTTGTTGGTGGCAGACTTTCTGTGTCACAGAGGAATGATCTTGAAGTCTCTCAAGGGTCTGCCCCATATCCTACGCTATTCAATTATGGGTGAGGGGTACTATCAAGGTAGCATTTACATACTTGATGTGTTATTACAGTTATATTGATAATGAGGTTATACCCCTCATCTCACAGGAATAGCTCAAGTTCAGTCTTTGGTCATTAGAAAAGCATAGAGAAAATTTGAAGTTGCATGGCAATTCTCAGCCAAGGGAAAACAAGTATTTTGTTGGTGAGGAAAGAATGTGTTGGGTTTTTTTCATGCTTCTCCATTTTACTGGCAAAAATCAACTTGGACTATAAATAGGTAAAGAAGCGTAGAGTTGCTTTTTGTCATGCGTTATCATTAAGAATAATTTTCATATTTAAGCTTTGTTTTGTGAATTCCAGTGAGCTCAGAAATATGACCTCTGTTCTTATTGCTGACAAAGTTGATGAATAGAATACCTTTACAGCTAGGCTTCTCTGGTTGTTTCAATTCAAAGAAAATGTAGAAACATGTTTCCTTCTTAAAACAATCACGTTAATACTTTAGCTCTACTGTATTCTTGCAGTGATTGCCTATAAAATGGCAGATTTCTTTCTCATTAGTTATGTGCCTTTTCATTTGTGTGTCTGTCTGCTTAATGTGCTAACTAGAAAGAATACTGTGAGCTCTGAGCACAATAAAAAATAACGTGAGTTTCATGGCAATCAGTAGACATATGCAAGCACTACTGACATTTAGCATTTTGTCATCAATATTAATACAATAGACAACCATGTCTCTAGCATGTCTGAGGTGCAAAAAGTGCTTCCCTTTCATGCTCATACTTACTTTTCAAGTCCTTTTAGTTCAAAGACAGCTTTACTATGAACTCTGTTACTCCTTTACTATGTCCTCCACCTTTGTTACCATCTGTCTATTCTATCACAGCTGTCTAGTTTCCTATAGTCTTACTGACTGATTTGTTTTGTTTATTTGCATGTTGATCAAGGTTATTTCTTTTGTCTTGTAAATGGTTTTGGATTAACCTGCCATGAAAAGGATTCACACAGGTTGCTGTTTGGGTTTTTTCCACACAATTCTAAGGAAAATTTGCTTGTTGGGTGTGTGTTGTTGTGTTGTTTTATTTTATTTATTTATTCTTTTTTAATTTGGATGTGGGTTCTTTCTCTCCACAGAATCATAATAAGCCAGAAATAACTGTAAAGCAATTTATAGATTGGATGCGCTTAGAACCACAGTCTATGGTGTGGCTACCAGTTCTACACCGCGTGGCAGCTGCAGAAACAGCAAAACATCAGGCCAAGTGCAACATCTGTAAAGAGTGTCCAATTGTCGGATTTAGGTAAGAGGAGGGCAGTTAGGTGCAGTGTTTCCCTGAAAATATCCACACTTTTAACCTTTCCAACAAGTGCAGTTTTTTCTATCTGTTTTCCCCTGTTTTCCTGCTTTAAGATAGGATCTGTCACCTGGGGTGTGGCCTGAGCCAGTGCAGTTCTGGCTCCTACAGTACCACTGTTAGACAACCAGTGACTGACAGAGGTCCAGGGCAGGCTGTCATCAGGTTTTTTTGCATTGTTGGATCCAGTAGATAACACATTAAATATGAATGCACTCCATGTTTTTTTTAAGCACAAGATCGAAAGGAGGTAATCAGTAAGAAAAAATGTGGACTGTCTGTCTGTCTGCCCTCCTGCATAATACTTGGGAAACTAACTTATGCCAGGCAATATTAAACACCCTTTAACATCAGTCTTTCCTTGCTTAAAACAAACACTGATATGCTGCTGTGATGCAACTTGCACAGTTCCTATCTCAAGCATTGAACTTAATCTGACTTTCATCTGTTCAAAGAAAGATGTGAATTCTAAAAGAAAAAAATTACCTGGGGAATATTCTTCATGTTATTCTGCTAAACTGTAGTTGGTACCCTTAGTGAGTACTGTTACAACTAGCATGCATTTGTGAATTGATTATTCCATGTACAAAATTATGCAAAAAAAATCCCCCAGAAAATCCCAGCAGGGGCTACATCTAGAGCTAAGAATAACTGGCCTTTTCCTCTACTGTGGTCATGGAGTCTAGTGTATTATTTAGGAAAAAATATAAAATGGTCTTTCTTGTAAGTGCTTCTAAGATTTTTCTTTGGATATCTTGGCAGATGAGTAAGTTTTGTACCCCATGCTTTCTACACTCCATCTTTCTGTTGTTTTAAAGGCTAATAATACGAATCCTGAGGTCAGATTCATCTCACCTAATTTTAGGCATGCTGGTTTTAGTCAGTGTTACAAGACTGAGCTAGCAACCCTCTTTTTTGTCATTATAAATATAGACATATATTTGCAAAAGTAATAAATCTGATCAAACGTTGTTGCCTGAGGAGATGTGAGGAGATGAAATTTTTTGAAGTGTTCTTATTTTTCTTTATTATTGCCTGAGGGAACAGAGAGTGACAAAGCTCCAGCCCAGATATGTTTTAGTTGTCTAAGTTGGGGATGATGAATCTTGTCTGTACTATGTGTAGAAGGAGGGTAGAGAGATAGATAAGAAGAGAAAGGAAGACAAAAGAATGGGTCATTCTAAATAATTTCTACAATGAAGTTAGAGATCTGCAACAACAAAAGCTTCTAGCATCTTAGCAGAAGGTAAATGTGGCCATTTAATGCACAGGCTCTGAGCAAAGATTATAAACAGTTGCATCAGCATCCTTTAAAGTGAACCTTTACATTTATAGACACATATTCCCTTGCAAAACAAAACATAAAACTCAGCAGGGAAAAAATGTGGATGGGTACTGAAAACTGCTCTCAGGAAGCAATTTAATTTAAACTTTAACTATTCAGTAGCTATTCAATTTGGTTAAGTTTGCTCATTTTCGTTTCATACTAATGATATAATCTCATGCAGTCAGAACAACCATACTATAAAAACAGTGGAGGAATCTGAAATTGAATTGTTGCTTTAGTCTGCTTTAGTCTAAATAAATCAACCATGTTCCTGGTGAGCACATTTAATACAAGGAATAATGTATAAGTTTCTTACTTTGTTTATACATAGTCTCTTAAAAAGAAACAATACCAAAAGTAAATATATCATTGTAATTCTTTTAACTGAATTTTATATTGTTTTTATAATTCATGAATTCTCAAGAATTTCATTTTCTGAAATGTGTTTGGAATTTCTGAGCATCAGAATGAGTTACAAACATTTAAGCTAACTATTCAGGGTAAAACCATGTAAACCCAATCTGGCTTATAAAAGTTTTTTGAGATACCATCTGAATACTAAATAGAGGAAAAGAAAACTAAAGCCAGTATTGTTTTAAAGTTAGTAAAAACTTGAACATTATAAATTCTTCACAGCCCATCTATGAAGTTGATGCCTGTAAGAAAAGTGACTTGGGCAACAGATGACTGACAATGGATATAGAGACAGGAACTTCTTTTAAGTACTCAGTGAGGTGTGCAATGTAGGGAAGTTGTGTGTAGTGGGTTAAGAGGGCTGCAGGTTTCCTGTGTTCCAGTGCAGCTGCTGCAGTGGCCCCTGGGTCTGCAGCTGTGATGAGTGTTGGCTGTGCCACATCCTGGTCACGCACACCCGCACACTTCAAGGTTCTTTCTAAGCTAATCCCAACAAACTCACTGTGTTGCTGCTGCTGCTGAAAACCAGGTGACACCATTTCAGAGAGTAATTTGGTTTGTGAGGCTTAATTAGAAGTAGACTTAAGAATCTCTAATCACTTTGTTTAATGTCCCCATAGGTATCGGAGCTTAAAACATTTCAACTATGATGTCTGTCAGAGCTGTTTCTTTTCTGGCCGTACAGCAAAGGGGCATAAATTGCATTACCCAATGGTGGAGTATTGTATACCTGTGAGTACTAGTTTACTGTTTCTAAGAGGTAACAATTATTATTTGCATTATTTGAGGTCTAAATTTTTTATGTAGTCTTTTGTCACCTCACTTTTATTCTTTTATATTCATTTTCATATGTTTAGTAGGGTGTGTCTTCCTACATTTCTCTTTGGAAGGCATCAGGGACTTTCCTAGTGTTGCTGATTTTATGTGGACAGTGTTTGGATTCTACAGAAATGGGTAGACATATCCAACTGTGAGAGAACTTGAACTTAACTTTTGCTTTGTAAGAAGAAAGATTATTACAATATTAAATGTAATTGTAGTACTTGTATACTTGCATATGCACACACACTATAAGAGTGAGAACATGTCAGAGAAAAACGACTCACTTTACTGTTGCTATACCATAGTAAAGAATAATTTCTTTTCATTGATTCTGTAGCCTAATCTTAGGATTTGATTGATAAATTGGCATGTCAGGCTATACTCTGAAGAATATTTTTAAAATATGTTTGTTGTTTATTCAATAATTTTTAATATTTGTTTTATTTAGTCACTTTTTTCTCTTCGTGCCTCTTCTTTTCAGAAGTCATTTTCTGGTTTTGTTTTATACTGCTTTTGTGGTATGGTATATGACCTTTTTTTATCCATATTCTAATCCTCAGGATCTGAAGGTCTGTGCATAGGCATCATTAAAAATATGGTGATGCTGATTTTTTATTTGCCTCCTTAGCCAACATAATCTAAAAATTTAAACATGTTTGGGATGTGTTTTTCCTGGATTAATTTTTCATTTTCTCCTTACAAATTTCTCTCTGACCTCATCTTTAGCAGAACAGAAATGTTCTTTGTTACTGCCTAAAATATACTGAAAATTCAGAAATTAAAGTATGAGGGATGTTGTAATAGATAATGCTGCTGGTCCACAGGATAAAATGGCCTTTCTGTTGAATCAGCAAACACAGATTATATCTGGTATTGGGTATGGTACTATTCCTAGAACAGGATGGTGTATTTCTGATGAATTCCAGGGTTTTTCTAAAGCAGCAGATTTGATATCTTAAGAGAAAATTTCAGTTCTTGTTAAACATGTTCACATTACATAACTGTGAGCCATCTCCTTTAAAACTGAAGTGTGATGAACAGAAACAAATTCTGGAAATATCTGGAATCCTCTCTTGTCCCTGGGACTAGGGATGGCTTGTATTATAGGGAAGATTTCTCTTACTGCTGCAAAAAAAATATAGTTTTAAAGCATTATTAAGTGTAAAATAAAGTAACATAAGGCAAAAGTCCCTTCTTTCCATGAAATGTGGGAGGAATGAGGTGAATCCACTACAGGATAACAGATCGTTAAGATGACTTTCTTGATTAGAGTGACTGAAGGAAGGCAAGTGTATAGGAGGTAAAGGAAGGAACTTGCAGCAGTTTTAAGTAGAGCAGAAAAAAAGAAGTGGCTTATAATTTAGGTGACGCGTAAAATTAGAGGTCCAGCACTGACCCCTATTAATTTGGAATCTGAATATAAGAGTTGGAATTTTACTTGGGTCCTGCTATAAGTACACTCTGCTGGCTCCATTTCTGTAAAAATAAGTGACCCATTATATGAACAGACTTACATGCCTGTTAAACTTCCATAATCAGTACCCACACGCAATCTGTTTTAACTAATCTCATCTGCACTAGGTCAGGAATAAAGAATTGATTTCACGAAAAGAATTCAGTATTATTTATCCTTGCTGTTTTTTGGTTGGTGTGCTAATTTGTTGCTGAACTTCTCTACATATTGAATTCTACATATTGAATTAATGTAATACAGTAGTCAAGAATTTCCAGTTAGTAGAATAGCTTATATGTTTCAAATGAATAATGCCTGAAAAATAGCATGGACCCAGGTCTGTGAAATAAAAGATAAAGTACCAAAGGGCAATGAATTGTTCGGTAGAATCCATTATATTACAATACAGATAGCCTGAACAGGAAGAGTGCATCTACTCTATCTTTTCAACTAAATTTAAAAGCTGTTGATGTTAAAATGTTACTTTTTTGGCCAGTGTTGAAAAGCAGAGTACAAAATGCACGAACTCTTTAATAAAACCTGCCTTCACTTTCTTACTGCTAATGCATATTAATACATTATTATCAAGAATAGTAGCAATAAATAGGTAAGAAAATGCTTCTGTTAATTAAGCTGACATTTAGAACTGGAGCTTAGTCGGAGGTGGAGGCGAGACCATTTAATTGTTTTCAAGTAAGCCGTTAAGTGTAGGATATGAAGGGATATCTCAGAAGCACAGTAACTTCTCATTAAATTTAAAATAATTTGGAGAATAGATTAAGGAATCTGTTTTTAAAATGAAAGAGGACAGTTCTCCATTCAATGAATTTTGTGATGTTTGCATTAGGTAAGAATTGCTTCACAGTTTCAGAATATGACCATTTACTTACTCCACATAGCTATATGTAAACTAATCTGTAATGCCATTTCAACATTCATCCTCCCTTGCAATTTGGTTTTCTTGATGCTGAAAATGCAAAAAAATTAATAATAATGACTTATGTCTCTTTTTCTTCCATCCAAGATTTAGAGATGGGTTTAACAAGCAACTGAAAACATTACTCTCTCTTAAGTAGTAGAAATGCAAAGTTATTCTAGTTAGTTTTCCACTTTTTCACCTAGTCTTTCTCTGAAAAGATGTAGAAATAGGATTTTTAATGTAGAATATTATGCAGAGATGTGTAGGATGTAAGATTGTACTAGCATCTAATTCAGGAATGCTCTTATGTAACTATCTACATGGTTTATTTTTAGCTGTTTTGGAACAGAAATCCTCTCAATAGTGTCACTTGTGTTATATTAATGTGGCTTTCTGCACCAACGGATCTTTTGAATTTCAGATGGAAATACTTACTGCATCAGTTTTCTTTCTCCAAAAGAAAACTCTCTCTTTGTTTTCACTTTGCAAATCCTATATTCCACAGCAAGGAATATTAAAAAAAAAAAAAAGCTCTTCTGGAGTAATGTACAAATACCAAATCACAGTTCTGAAAATTTTCTCATTGCAAGTAGACTTATTTCCTTACCATAATGAAAGTAGAATCAATTTTTGTAGTTCTGTGCCACTCACCTGGCATAGCTTCTTATTTTAGGGAATTAATTTTTGGTAGTCTTTCTATACACAACAATGGCACCAAAGGTTAGCCCTTTCATTTTCCAGATGACCAGAATTTTATTTCCCTGGAAGAGCTCAGAATATTAATCAGAAATTATTGGTTGAATGGTACTTCACCCTAGAATGAATTTTTTTCCAGGCACAATAAAGCTTATCTGAAATAGTGCCTGTTAAGATGTCTCCTCTAGGTAAGTCATCTGAAAATTGAATTCCTAGTGACATTCAGAGAAGACAGATACGTTCCTGAACATCAAGCAGCCTTGGTGTTTTATAAGTGACAAACTGACATAAGTAAGTCAGTGGTTTCATCTTGATATGCTTAGCAGTGCACCAGGGATGACGCTTCACTGTTAACAAAATGGGATTGTTCTGTGGGGAAGATGAAAGAAAGCAGCTAGAATGGTTGAATCTGACTATTTCATATGCATAACATTGCTTTCAGCTGTGGGGGTCAGAGATAACTCTTTGCCTTGAGAAGAATTGCTAATTTGTCAGGGTAGTCTTTGATATAGAATCATAGAATCAGATGGGTTGGAAAGGACCTCTGAGATCTTGAAGTTCAACCCTTGATCCACTACCAGCACAGTTACTAGACTGTTGCACTAAGTGCCACATCCAGTCTCTTCTTAAATACCTCAAGGGACAGAGAACCCACCACCTCCATGAACAACCCATTCCAGTGCCTGATTACCCTCCCTGTAAAAAATTCCTTCCTAACATCCAACCTAAACCTCCCCTGGCAGAGCTTGAGACCATGCCCTCTTGTCTTACTGAGAGCTGCCTGGGAAAAGAGATCAACCCCCACCTGGCTACAACCTCCTTTTAGGTAGTTGTAGAGTGATGAGGTCTCCCTTGAGCCTTCTCTTTTCCAGGCTAACTTCCTTGTGAGGGGAAGAGGAGGGGAAGACGCTGATCTCTTCTCTGTGATGACCAGTGACAGAACCTCAGGGAATGACCTGATGTTGTGTCAAGGGAGGTTTAGGCTGGATATTAGAAAAAGATTCTTCACCCAGAGGGTGGTTGGGCACTGAACAGGCTCCCCAGGGAAGTGGCCACAGCACCAAGTATGACAGAGTTCAAGAAGCATTTGGGCAATGCTCTCAGGCACATGGTGTGATTCTTGGGGTGTCCTGTATAGGGCCAGGAGATGGACTTGAAGATCCTTTCAATACAGCATATTGTTTGATTCTGTGATACAGTTAAACATGTCTGTAAGTTATTGGTGAACAGCTTTCTGAATTTTGATTTAAAAAAAAAAAATTATCAGAGGAATGAAGTATCTGTGTCTTAATCTCACATCCCACATTGGGAAGTTTCCCAGCCTTCCACTGCTGTCTAACTGACAGCTGCTTCAAGATACAACATCAGATTCATATGTCTACTAGGAATGCTATCAAAGAATAAAGTAAAATACTTTTTAACAATATAGATGTTATTTTATACTACAAATTTGCATCTCTGAGCATGTCGTATTACACAAAACATATTTTTCTTGGAACTTGCTTGAGTACTGAAGGTTTCTTACCAGCTTCCTCATAACCCATGAATGTCTGCCTGGCCTTAGTGACAACATACATTAGGTTCACATCTCTTCTGGGAATCAGTTTCTATGTGTATATTAAAACAGCTAATTGGGTTTGTGTTAAATATAAGAAATGTAAGAGAAGGATGACTTAGGTGCAGACTAGTCCTTTTACTCTGCTAGGAGCAATGAAAGGAGTGAGAAATTGTTTGGGCCTCCATTATTAGTTTTTCTTTGAAGAAGAGAATAGTAATAAATAAAGGCAAATATATGTATGTATTTTAAGTATTCTATATTATTTATTCACATATGTTTCATAAATTTGTTACAATTTTTATATTATATATTATTTAATTTAGAGCTCTAACTGCTTTATTACATTCTTGGTATTACTTTTTCCCAATGAAGACTTGTTCTATTTCCAATACACTAGAAGTATACAGAAACTATTTTTTTAGCCTATGTATGAAAAACATGTTTCAGCATACTCATTTTTTTCCACTGCTTTCCATGAAATCCCAGTTTTTAAATTTGTGTTGGATTATAAATAATTTTATCTGGTTTTCATTTGTTGCTTATGATTCCCTTTATGCCTGGCTGGTATATTGTAGAGCGCTAATACCAGTTTGTCAGTTGTTATGGATTTTCTCCTTGAGACCTTCTGGTATAGGTGGTTTTTTTAGTTATGTATGTATGGCAGCCGTGGATCTTAGATGTTCCTTCTTCTCCTTCCTGAACCTTGTCTTGCTCTAAGAACTGAGATTTTAAATTGAGCTTGAAAGCATGGTCCTTTGGCTGAATTTTCAGTGAAGAAAAGGATTTTCTCTTTGCTTTTGAAGAAGTTCTGTAACAATGGTGGTATTTGTGCTATTGATTTGTGTAGAAATAGACAAGATGCCATGATGTAAGGAAGTATGCAAGGTACCTGTTTATTTTAATTTAGAAGGTAGATTTTACACAACAGTGCCTGGCTATTGATTTTTGAAAGGAAAATGTTATAGTACATCTCCCTTGATATGATTTTGGATTGGATTGTGTAATGTGGTCATATGCAAAAATAAGTAGAAGAAATATTTCAAAGAGTTGTATCTTAGTTGCGTGTAAATTAAAATAGTTCTTTCAAATCTGCTCATATTTCACTGGTTAATATTTACTGTCTTCAGTAAGTACATAGGCATATTAGTTTTCTTTCCAAGGAACTGGATCAGGCTGTCACACCAAATAAAGAATACACCAGAGGAAGAGCTTGGCAGCTCAGTAGACATTTATTTCTACAATGTGTAGGTACTAAAATTTTCATTCCTTGGCCTTGGGACAGAGTTCCATCTGTCTGAGTTACTGTTGTGTGAGAATAAGCAGCCCTTTGAGTCGCCACATGTTCCTTCTTTGGATGGTGCAGTGGTTGGAGTAGATGGTTTCCAAGAATGATTTTGCAAGCACTCCCAAAATCCACTTGTATTAAAACTGAGGGTTTCAAACATCTCTTAATCCCAAATTTACTCAGTTTGTTGTTACTTGTTAAAGCCACATATGAGAAATCTACCAACTTCAGTTTATCTACGATTTCTATTACTTATCTGATCTGCATTACAGAATTTGTAACTGCATATATTAAAACACATAGGGAAGTTTTTTTATGTTTTGACAACACAGAATAGAATCATGGAATAGCTTGCCTGGTCTGCTTCTAGGCCTCTTCATGCTGCATCAGGGAAAAAGATTACAAAACTGAAAAGTCTTTCTCTCTATTTTCCCTGTGTTTATCCATCGGCTTTGGCAACCTTTTATGTTAACAGGCTTCTCCCAAAGCAGAGGGTATAAAAATGCAATCTGTAGTTTGTTACAGAGGTTGGACTGGAAATCTGTAGAAGCTGTTGCAAATCTTCAGCTAACTCAGGAGGTGAATGGCCACTTTAATGCAGTTGCAAGAGGAAACGTTTAATAGTAACTGCTGTATGTCAGTTGTGGAAGAACTTGCTGCATCAGTCAGGATTAGTAAAAAAGATGCTGGGAGGGATGGAAGATGGTGATTATAACTTGTAAATTTAGACTTGAAGAATCTTGTGGCTAATTTTTTCCTGGTCTTATCTTGTGGTAGTAAGGAGACAATCAGCCTGGGAGTTTGTTACTTCAGGCACTATTTGTTCTTATCAGTCCTGCTTGTGCCTTTGAACAGCGGCTGTCCACTGACTATCACTTCATCTGTGGTTTGTTTTTTTTTTTTTCACTCTGGAATAATAGTAGTGGCAGAAAATGCTTATGAAAAGCTTGGCCATGGAGGATGGTTTAACACATACCACTCCCATATTGTGATAAAGTTTTCCATTGTAGGTCTAGAATGGAAGGCAGTGAGTATTTTGGGGAGCTATGTGAATGCAGAGGGCTGTATCTTACCAACTGATTCTGAAAAACTGATACGCCCTTTTTTTATTTTTTCTGAAAAATCAAATATTTGTGTTTTGTAGGAGTGGTTATAAATGTGTAACTTAAAACTTGAACCTTTTTAAATTTTTTTCTAATTTGTAAACTAATTGGTAAGTGCATTTTTTGCTGGGAATTTGAAGCTTTGCTGTTTTTTTTGAGAAGAAAATTTTTAGATGCATTATTGTTATTGTACTCTATTTCAGAATACTAAAAAGGCAATTTTAGCATCATTAACATTTTAAAATTCTTCCTTGTATTCTTTTATTAATCATTATTAATCATTAATATTGATATTAAATAAATGCTATTTAGCAATGTTGAATTTAATTTCTTTTTTAAAGACAACATCTGGGGAAGATGTACGAGACTTCACAAAGGTGCTGAAGAATAAGTTCCGATCAAAGAAGTATTTTGCGAAGCATCCCCGACTTGGCTACTTACCTGTGCAAACAGTATTGGAGGGTGACAACCTGGAGACGTAAGCTTGATTTATAGAGTCACTGGAGTCACTGACCTAAAAAGAACTCAAGAAATAATCAAAAACAGTTGCAGAGTGTTGTTATGTATTGCCTATTTTTTTAAAGTACCTTATTTTATATTGGATTTTGGTAAGCAGTTTACTTTAAAGCCATTGACTTTATAATGTCCATGGCAATGGACCAAGCAGGTAATGTTGGAGGGTGCCGAATGGCTCTTTTACAGAGAACACTTTTGAGGAGATTGGGCTTTTTGAACTGCACTGCTCATTTGGTTATGTCCATATTCCTGGAATTAGAAATCTCTGAGTTAATTAGGGTCCTACAGGCATCAGAAATACAGGTGGCCTAATCAGAGAAAGCACTCTCAGTGTCTCCACGGTATTATTTGTGGTGCTGACAGAAGTGCTTCGCTTTATTTACTTTCTTGGTAGTTGTCAGCAGAAGACGCTGTTACAAGAGCAAAATTAAAATGTGTTGTCAGGGTGCTAGAATTAGTTTCATGGATTGATTGCCCTTCACGTGCTGGAGCCTGTGGAAGTACTGCACTGTCTGAACGTGGCACACTTAGCTAACAGCAGCTCATGTAAGGCTTTAGCATAGGTGCTCTGCTTTCATACAGCAGTGCCATTGCCCATGCCCATGCTCTGTTTTCATGGCTGGAGGGCTGTGCATTTTATTTACAATAACCAAACAAAACCTCTTCGTTAGCAGTTTAAGAAACAGGAGGAAGTAATCTGAAAACTGGTAGTATTGATGGCCTGGCTTCTAAGGAAACAATACACCTTCAAGTGTTAAAATGTTACCCACTGGGGCAATCTTAAGCTGCCACCAATACAGGAAAACAAAGCTACTTCGGTGTGATGAAAGTTTGCCAATGCTGACAGAGATTGGAATGTCAAAACTGTAATCACAGGTCAGGGTAAAACTCTTTTGGTCCAGTCGTGTGGGAAATATACAGATAAATTGCCAGCACCGTGCTGAGAAAACTGTTGGTATTGGTTCTCTGCCCTGCAGGTGGCAAAACTCAGTAATACATTGTTTTTAATAAAAATATTACAATAAAAAATCCTATATAGTTACTCAAGTGTGAGAATTTATTATAATATGTATTTATCTCTGATTATTTTTATGCATAAGGAAAATAAGCATTGATAACTGTGACTTATAGAGTGGGTTTTTTATTGGCAGTATTTTTTCCACCACATTTTTTCTAGTCATATTTAGTTAGTTTAAGATGAAAGATCCAGCACTTGAGCAGAATTTAAATGAGATGATTATAGTTTATGAACTGCAGTTCAATCAATACCTCTGATTTGGATTTTTCTTAAATTGATTTCTATTTAACAAAACAAAGTATGTAAGTCAGTCTTCTGTCCCTCTGTGATACATGGCAGTATCTGTTGCTGTTTCTTTTCTTTATTAATTGTTGCTGATGGAAATAATCTGGGTGGGTTGCTGGTCAAAATATTTTGTGTTTCTCCAGCTTTCTCTTGCTTAAATGAAACTACAGTTGTTTCATAGTTTCATTCTTTTTCTCTCTCTTTTTTTCTTTTTTTTTTTTTTTGTGTCTTCCTTACAGTCCTATCACTCTCATCAGTATGTGGCCAGAGCAATATGAGTGAGTACGCAGAACCCCTTTGTCTGGAAAGCCTAATATGCTGATTGTTTTCTTTTAGCTCAGTTGCAACTAATCTGATGTGCATGAACTATAGGGCATGACTAACCCAAAGCAATAACGCTGTTGGGAATATTGTGAATTTATTTATTTGTCATCTGTCTAACTTAATTTAAAAATAATATTGTCTGTATTGTGAGTTGCTTTAGACATCACTAATTGTTTTATTATTATTTTTAAACTAGTCCTTCCCAGTCTCCACAGCTGTTTCATGATGACACACACTCCAGGATAGAGCAGTATGCTACTAGGTAAGGGAGGCACAGTTTCTCACAAGTACATTGTATTTTGTGATTGATTCCTGCAGTTTTTAATATGCACTACTGGTTGGATATAATGTATTAAAAAGATATAATTCTCTGTACCTAAAGTAAGTAAAATATTTTAAAATCATTAGCTTCTGATTGCAGTCATATTAGATGTAACATAAATGTGTTAAATCTATCATCTCTCATACAGAATTGAAAATGTTGCAGAATTGTATTATTTCTTAGAATGTACCATTTTTGGTTTGTTTCTTCATTTTTAACCTTTGAAATAAACCAAACTTGGTGGATGTATAGTTTTCCCAGTAGAATTTTAGATCCAAGCTTTTGTTTTCTGCTGTGACAGGTTAACACTATCCACTGCTGTTGACTTTTAGCAGGGCATATAATAATTGCAGATGTTTATTATTCTTGCTTTTGTGGGATCACCCTAGTCCTTTTGTGATAAGGTAGCTATTATGCCAAGTCCATCTCAATGTTTCTGTGTTTTGTTGAACTCTCTTCTGTACATTCACAGCTGTAAGGTGAATCACAGAATCAATAAGGTTGGAAAAGACCTCTAAAATAGTCAAGTCCAACTGTTAACCCAGCACAACCATGTGCACCATTAAACCATGTCCCCAGTTGCCAAAGACACTTCCTGAGAGGATGACCTCTTTTTCATGGAAGAAATTTTTGTAATAGCTAATCTAAACTTCCCCTGGCACAACTTGAGGCCATTTCCTCTCATCCTGAATTAGGGATGTGATGATGGTGAAGCACTAACCAGAGGTACCCTCTCAAAAACAAGTACCATGGGAATTGACTAGGCTTTTCTTTTGGTATTTTTCTTGTTGTATCTGATCTGTACAACTAATAAACAATGTTAACTTTTTCAGCTTTTTGACTAAAAGTTCAGTTAACTGCATTCTTATTTATGAGCACCATAAGAAAGCTTCAGAGCAGTTTCTTAAATACCTACTATACACTACATATGATCTTTGCAGCAGGAGAAAAAGAAATAGGGCTGAAGGGCTACCCACAGTCAGCCTAGTTTTTTTATTCCCCCAACAGTGAATATTTTCATCTTGCACTGGTAGTATAGCACAATGACATGCAATGTCATTGTAGTGCTTTTCAGTTATTTGGAACATGTAATTCATATAGATCACCCAACGTTTCTTTGAATCTCTAACTTCAGCCATGCTTTAATCAGTTAAAATCCCTGGACCAAATAAATTACACTTTTCTGTGAGAATTTTTTGTCTCCTTATGTCCTTTTTTCAGCCCTTGGTGCCACAATACTATGACTTTTTGTGCCCTGATAAAGCTCATATTCTGGACTCGCATTAGGATCAAGGGAGACCCTAGGTCCAATACCTGTTCTATTTCTCCTGTACCTCAGCTTTTACAAGTTCTGCTTTGGATTAGAGTAGCTGAAGGTGGGCCATACACTAATCAAGGCTCTTTGAGGATACAAAGCTAAATGTGTACCTGCTAAGTGCAGACATGGGTTATCAAAATTACAAACTTAATACTGAATACTACATAAGTAATCTATCTAAAACTACTCAGAACTGTTTTTCTTCTCTTAAAAAAGAGAAGACATAATTCTGTGTCTTTCATGTAATTTTTATTTTGTCCTTTCTAGCTGGATCTGTTATGTGTGTTTTACATATAAACTAGTAAATCTTTTTAATTGTTCTGATCTTTTCAGTTAACCTTCTTTAAAGGAATAATATCAGGGCTTCCCTAATAAGACAGCGCCCATCAGAAATAGTGTATTAAGGCTTCACTGTCACTGATTGAAGAACATTCAATTCCCAATTTTCTGCTAACAAAGTCCCCTATCTGGGGATATACCTGGGGGTACCATCTCCCTGTTTTGTTGTGCTGCATCCCCTCTGAGTTGCTTCTAATTTCCTTCCTCAGCTTTCAGTTTGTATCGTGCCTTGAAGGCTCTGCAACTCGAGTCCCTTCCCTGTCTCCCTCTGCTCCCTGATTAGGGCCATCTGCTGGTTTCATAGCAAATCCTCATTAATGATGGAGATGGTAAACATGATGATAATGATAGAATCTGCATTTGTGAGTTGGGATATCTATTACTCACTAAGAGATTCAGGTCAGGCTCCCAGCTCTGAAAAATACTGGGGGTTGGACTACTTCCCTATCTGACAAAAGGCCTATGAAGATTAATTTCTAAGATTGTTTCATCAAAGATTTGAAGATGCTGAGCTATGCAGCAATATAAAGGTGATTGTAAGCATGTTGCTCACTGTGAAGTAGATCTTTTTGAGATGCCCCAGAGCAGAGATGATCTGATTATCTCTGGTCACTTTGGAGCTTGTCTTTCCCTTTGGGGGAGGTGTTTGAACACAATGTCCCATCCAAACCATGGTGGGATGAGACAATGTCATCCTCTGTGGCTTTAATTTATTCTTCTTCAACCCTGAGGAACAGTAACAAATGAACAGATGGGCAAACTTTCTGCATATTAAAACACCAGAGTTCTCAATTCTTTAGGGCCTTGCACACTGCTTTCAAAAAGAAGTTTGAAGAATAATGTCTAATGCACTTGCAAAAATATATGTGAAATTAGGATATCTTTATAGTAAAGGAAATAGCTGTATTTGGTGCAGTTAAATATATGTGCAGAGCATTGAGTGTTCCTAGATTTTTATGTATGTGTCTTATGTACATAAGGTATCTGTTTCCTGGAAACTTCAATAGGTAGAAAATTTCTACAGTCCAATAATGTAGTCTTCTTAGATAAATTCCTTCCAAAATGAGGAACTATAGGCAATGACTCCCTGCAATTACACTGCTTTTTGTGTTGTTTTCCAGGACTTGTCTGTCCACAGTGTGATATTATTTGCCAAGTATAATTTCAGATGTTGTATGTGCTATATTTAGAAAGTATTCATCCTCTTTTGTTAGTCTGGCTTTATAAAATTCAAAGAGAAAACCATCTGCAAAAACATCTCTTTAACTAATTTTACCACGAGAGTTTTGGTAATGCTAATGATAATTATACTAGAGATGGAAAATAAACTTTTTTTTCATTGTTTGGCAAGTAGAATTAATTAATCATAATGCAAGTTTCTCATAAGAGTCCTCTGGATTTTAGGTCTTTGTCACAAAATCTAGGAGATTATTTTTAATCATGTATACAAAGATGGCCATATCTGAGCTGTTTCCAAGCAGACTTGATCTTCCTACTGCTTCTATTTAAATTGTGCAGCATGTTCTCTGAAAGGTGTGGTCTTTCCTTTCAGGCTTGCGCAGATGGAAAGGACCAATGGCTCCTTCCTCATGGACAGCAGTTCCACCACAGGAAGTGTGTAAGTAACTCAAACTTATTAAGACTGCCAGCAACTTCGGTTATGTGGTATAAATCTTCATAAGTTCTAACACAGGACTTGGTTCCAGTGAAAGCAGCTAATAAGTATGACCCCAAGAATGCCTGCATAAATTTAATTCCCAGCACCTGTTGTAGAAATTGGTGATGTTCACTTGTTTATGTACAGGAACTCTACATTTGTCAGCCATTCTGCTTCAAAAGTAGGGATATTTCACATGACTGGTAAAAAGCCACAGCTCTATAGGTTCTAGTTTGTAATCCTTTTCTGCTTTTACCATAGTATAAAAGAAAAGAAATCCTTCTATGTTGGACAATGGAGTGGGTCCAAAGCTTTTGCTAAGCCCCTAAGACAACTTTCTTATTAAAATAAAAAAGCATCCGTATTTTGAAAATTTTGCAGAGCCCAAAGAGTCTTGCTACTTCCTGTTTATATTTCAGTTTGCTGGCTGATGATTCATCTCTCTATACCTAGGGATATAGGCATAGTCCTATGTTGATTTTATCAACACTGTTTTCTTTTTTTTGAATTGTCTGTCACTTTTATTGTAAAAACCTTCATTGAAATGCATTGATGAATCTGGAAGGTGTAGAACCCCTTGAATTGCTGATAAATTAAGTACAACTTTTTTCAATGTAAAAATATACAAATATTTTAACCTCCCTGTATCATCAGTTCGGTTATTTAAATCAGTGTAGTAAGACTGCCTTGTCTAAATTAGTAACAAATACCATCAGCATTTTTAAATAGGAAACCAAAGTTGTTCTTCTTCAGCTTTAGTTAGAAAACGCTATTGGTCTCAGTAATACTTTCATTTACTGTTTTAAAATCTAATAATGAAATTATTATAAATAATAAAATCTAATAATTAATTATTCTACCCCTGAGTGTACTAACAGTTTGAGATTTAAAATACTTTGATTCAAAGAAGCACGTGACTCCCTTTAAATGTTTTCTTTTCCCCGATTAATTAACTCTCTTTGCATACCAAATAACTTTTTTAATGTGAACTTTTTTCATGTGTTTCTGTCATTGGCATACTTACCAGTGAGAGAAATGCAGCCAAAATATTCTCTTCTGATTTCCCTTCCAAAAAAAAAAAAGAGCAAACAAACTGTCATTTGGCAGGAAAGCTGAAAACTTGAAGGCAGCTAAATGCTCATACACTTGAGTTGTGTATTTTGCAATTAATGAGCCTACTCATACACAAAGACTAAACAACCACTCATCCCAATAGTAAAAGGGGGATGAATATGCTTCATTTTTACTGGCAAATCACCTGTTGTTTTTTAATGCAATTTCCTTGCTCATCTATAAAAATTGCCTTTATTTTAGGAAAAGAATTAACATAGAGAGTTTGTGTATCAACATGCGAGAGGGACCGCTGAATTTGGGTCTCAGTCCTGTCGTCAAAAGGGGACTGTTACACAAACAAAATATTGACAAGAAAGTAACTTTGTACCCAGCAGCACCTTCTGTTTTATTTGCAGATCTATGCTTTCATTAAGGCGTAAATGCTGAAGTACTCAAAATCCTGAAGGCCTGTGGTTTAAAGTTTAAGCTACTGTCATAGAATCATTTAGGTTGGAAAAGGCCTTTAAGATCATTAGTCCAACTGTAAACCACACATCTGCCAAGTCCACCACTAAACCATGGCCTTAAGTGCCACATATATATCTTTTAAATACCTCAGTGGTGACTCAACCACTTCCATGGGCAGCCTGTTCCAACACTTGACAGCCCTTTTGATGAAGAAATTTTTCCAGGAATCTACAAAACTGTGAAGGTGGTATCCCAGTTTGGATCAGAAGTTGTTGAAACATTGGGGAATTTAGGATTATAATTTTACAATATAGCTTTTACAGTGTTGTTTCAAACATTCAGAAAATGATTACTATTTTGGAAATCAAATTCTTTGCCTCTCGTAATTGGAGTTATGTTTTGTGATCTTATTTTTATTGGTCATAAAGAGTCTTTCAGTTTACTGTGAACCCAAAATGGAGATAGAGTTCCACTTGATACTGAAAGTTTCTGCTTTGGTCTTGTCAGGTTCACAAGTTCATCAACAATCCTTTTAACATTCTTCATGCTTTAAAGATGTAAGAAGTCATCTACATTTGAATAAGAGAACTTCTGCATAAACATAATGAATTTTTTCAGGAATGTTTTGCGACATGCCATTTGATTAAGAAATCGCTCTTCAAAGATAATTCTTAGGAGAAGAACAAGTAAATTAAAGACAAAGCACTTTGGAGTACCTTCTTCAGCCTTATTCTAGTATTTCTCATAGCATCACAATTCAAGGTACACTTTATTTAGACCAGAGTGCATGGTGCTTAATATGAGAGTTAGAGCAAAAATGAAAGCTGTCAATTAAGTAAGTTCAAATATAGCCACATTTTGCTATCTCAAATCCAATTTAGCAATCAGTTTTCTTAGGTAAAATAATGCACTGACAAAAAGTGACAGTGAGGAGATCTGAATTTTTCTTTCCACAGCATAGGCTGATAAAAGGGAAGTTACATGCAGCTTTATTTGCCTCTTGCTTCCTCTATGCATAATGCATGTGTTGGAATAGACCTCTTGAAAAAAATATCCACAAAGAGAAGAGGATATTTCAAAGGCTGTTTTCCCTGGACTTCTTTGTTGGGGTGTTTTTTTTCTTTGAGATCTACTTCTTTCAAGTTTGACGTTCTGGGATGTCTTGTTTGCTGCTTTTTACTATGGTGAAATGCAGAAAATGAACTGCAACCTCTACTATCGAAGGACTGTGTGTACTTCTAGTTTTTTCTCAAAGCACACAGGGTTTTCAGTAGAATAACCACCAAGAAAGAGTGAGGAGTTCATTGTGACTTGATACTTTTGTTTTGATTGCTGATTGCCATCTTCTACCACTTCTACAGAACAGAGTCCCAGATTCTCAAAATGAAAGTATTTGCCTGGCATAGAACAATGACCTTATGCTGTTGGTCATTTGAAGCCCTGTCCTTGGACTCCTGTGCTGCTAATGAATAATTATATATAATTATAATCACAAGGTTAGTTGATGCAAGTTCAAGGTTCTGGTTTTTTGAGCTAGTAATTTTTCAAGACAGACCAGAGCTGTAGAACACATGGTAAAAATACACTTTTCCTTCAGAAGACGTCTTTTGTCAAATGCTTCCTCCATCCTGTGAAAAAGCCTGCTGTCATTTGCAACGTGTGATGCCTAAAAAAAGAGCAATCAATATTTGCAACCTGTACAGTATATTTTCTGAGACTCTGAACCAGTGGGAGAGGAGGGAGATGAATTTTTTTCTGAACTAAATAACTGTGAGACCAAAATATAAAATTATCTGTATTTAGTTGTTTCAATCTCACCTGCTGGATCATAATACAGTCAAAAGTATCTAGTGATTTACTCTTTCTGGTAAACTCTTTCTTTTTTTAAGGGGTTTTATAAGTTTCATTTAAAAATGAGGTTACACCTAATGCAAAATTTTGTCAGAATTTCAGATTTAACAAATTTGAATAAATATAATAAATCCAGCTTTACAGAGGTCTATTTTTAAAAAGATCCATTTTAGATGACTTATATATTTGTTTATAAACTAATTTGTAATTTTAAAATGTAGGCAACAGCTTTTTGATGCCTAATTAAAATAGCTAGACTAAACTACATCAAGTGAACCTTTCCTGACATCATCAACACCCTTGCACAAAAGAAGGCTGTTATGTGTAGTTACACAGTATCACTTAAATTAACATGTAAACAGTGTTCTGAAGTCTGGATGATAAAGCTGTGTTCTCTCACTAGCCTGCTTTATGTTTCTGTGCTCGCTGAAGATGTGACATTGAATTGCCAGCACTCTTGGATTACTATGGCTGTTTTGGTCACAGTGAGGACGTTCTGCATATTTTGCAGGGCTGTGTGGCAGAGTTGGAAGCCCACAGAGATGTTACATCACTTTGGTAAAAATTTAGTTATAAAGAGTAGGGTTTTTTTGTCAGGATGGCTAAAGGGTGGATAAGTACCATTAGGTTTTTATTATCACATTGGGATCCGATCCAAAATCCATTAACTGCAATAGCCTTTGTTTTAGTTTTAAGTAGACTAATGTAAAATAATAGTGAGTGATGATGAAAATCCCTGAGATCACTTAAGTGCTGAAGAAGAGAAAGCAGTTAGAGGCCTTATCTTTTTTGTAGGTAAGGGGGAAAAAAAGAAAGAGCACTGTTACATTTCTTTTTCAGCTAACACTGTTGGATATCTCTAATTATTTTGAAAGACTTAAATACACATATAACCCCAATTGTATTTAAATTATATAGATATACTTAATGAAAAATTTGTTAGATTTATTTATTTGTAGGGAAGATTCATATTGTCATTTCTTCTCGAGTGTAGTACTGACTACAGCCAAGACAGATAAGAAATAAGTGAATAGACATTATTTTCATTGAACTTTCTAGTCATTTTTAAAAGCAAAACTTAATAATTAGGTTCCTAGTCCCGTGGGTAGAACTCTCACAGGCTGGGGTTTTTTTGTTTGAATTTTTTTGTCAGGGCAGAGTGCTACTTGAAGTACATTTTTTGATTGTAATAGTCTAAATTTTCAATGTCAAGTTGTAAAATGGAAGACCCCATGATAGCTTTGAGTAGATAGTGAATAGTTATCCTTATGAAGAAATAATTTGGTGGTGTTCCACCACAGGATCTTCAGTAAAAGTTTGTCTTTAGCAGTACTATAAAGAACCAAATCGTTTCACTGAGTGATAGAAGTACTCTTCCAAGAGAGACAAGATTCCAAGAGGAATTGGTATGTTTTAAATCTTTAGTTATTCTGTCTTGCTTTTAATACTGATGATGCTGTTAAATGGATATTGATATACTGAGCTACCAAAAAATCTTATTTCAGCAGGGTAAAATAGGGTCTTCCATTACAAAACAGTATGTATGCAACTCTCATTTGTTCCTGTCACATATTTTCTCCTTTTGCCCCAAGAGTTCAAATTTATTGCTGAGAAAACACCCAATCCACATGCATGGCATTTAAAACATCTAATATGTTTTACTTGTACACGGATTTATTTCTAGATTATTTCTTGCCACAGAAACACCTGCCGTGTCTTCCAGGGTATACTTTTCTAAATAACTGTTTTTATCATTCAAATGAGACTGTACATTTGGATCTTCGGTGATGGAAGATGTTAAATTGACCAACAGGAAATTGTAAAAAGCCTCTTGAAAAACTCCATTATACTTTTATTTGGAAAATAAATGCTTTGCATATAGTGAACTTCCTATTCTTTGCATGTGCTTTCAAAGACAGTCCTTAAGGTTACTTTTCATTCCATAGTCAGTTAGCTGCAGAATTCATATCTGCGACTTTCCATCAGTAGGAGGAGAAAGGTTAGCACAGGAAGTATTTTTAATATAAAAAAGGTTCTTTTCTAAATGGTATCTGAACGTGTGTATGCATACTGCCCATGTGTGTCTCTCTGTTGTTGACCATGCTTTAACTGTAGGAGATCTTTAGGGTAAAGTATGTAGGGACAATACTTCCAGGTTTCATAGGTTATGCAGTCTTTGGTTTGTAATCAAGCAAAGAAGGTAGTTGTAAGAAGGGTTTTCTTCAGCGTTCATACTCTTGCAGCAGTTTCTCTCTTAAAAGATATGAATAGTATATGTTTTTCTGCTGTTGATTCATCCTTTTTGAGTAAGCAAGCAAGCAAAATGGTTTTAAGACGTGGTTTCCTTCACTTTCTATCCATCTGACTTTATTTATGGAGAAAAGCCAGCAAGTAGGGAAGTAAGACACATCTATACGAAACCCAATTCACTTGGATGTTAAAGCATAATTGAAAGTGTCAGAACTTCCGTATCTCCGTACCATGAGGTAATTTCATGCGACTCAGGAGGAGGACAGTATTATAGTTTACTTCTATCCCTGAATCTGTAAGGAGGAGATCTACTGCCCATGCAGAATTTCAAGGTATTGTATGTGTGTATCAAAACAGGGGGAGAAAAATTGAAAATATAGTGCTAATTCAAAACCTGGAGCATTATTTTTGAAGCATTGTCAGTCCCTTTGTGCAGCGCACAGTGTTAACTAGATATTTTATGATTCATTGCTTTTGACTTCTTGGAGAATTTTGTGGGGATGTTTTTTCTCTAATTTTCTTAGCTAGATTGAACACACCAACATTATCTCCTCAAAAATATTAAAAATGTCACCTATTTATGGTTTAAAAAAAAAGGATCTAGCGGATAGTTTGTTTTATTTACTTTTAAGGCATTTCAAATCATCGTCTTTTGTTTTTATTATTTCTGATTCTTGTTTTCAATTTCTTAAACCACCAGCAGCATTTGTTCTTTTTGCATACATTTAACCAAACTGATCTTTTACACTACTACACATAAATCTTTTTTCCTGTACATTGTGTATTTATACGGTTTTCTTTCAGTATGTTTTTTAGGCTTAATTCCTTCTCTCTTAGTCCTTTTTCATAAACAAACCAAATCTCTCAGTTTGACAGAGATGTTTGCTCACATAATAAATGTTTTACTGCTGTGTCTTTATCTGAGTTGTTTTACTGTTTCAGAGAGGATGAACATGCCCTTATCCAGCAGTATTGTCAGACGCTGGGAGGAGAGTCACCTGTGAGTCAGCCACAGAGTCCTGCTCAGATACTTAAATCAGTGGAGAAGGAAGAGCGAGGAGAATTGGAGCGTATCATTGCTGACCTTGAGGAAGAGCAAAGGTCTCATAATCATTCTACTGGTGTCTGAATTGTCACTTCATTGTTTTTCGAGCCATGCATGTATTGCATGGAGATGTGAAAGACCTAGGAGTAATGATTTTAGCAAAAAAACACCAGTCAAGGCATATGTTGTGCATAGCCTGGTTCTGTTAAGTAGAAGAAGAAGAAGAAATAATTTAGTTCTACTTCATTGCCTTTTTTTCTCCCTCATAAACCACAACTCAAGACATTGTCTTTGTATGAGCTGTTTGTGTTGTTAGTTGAAGGTGATAGCATCATTTGATAAAAGAAGTTTTTTTATTTTAGTTTACTTGATCAAGTCATCATTCTCTTACTCTTTTGAATATACCAGGAGTCTGCAGATAGAATATGAGCAACTAAAGGAGCAACATCTTCGGAGAGGAATAAACCCTCTTGCATCACCTCCTGATTCTGTTGTGTTACCTCAGCATGCTTCTGAAGATGCCGAGCTCATTGCTGAAGCTAAACTCCTGAGGCAACATAAAGGTCGCCTGGAAGCAAGGATGCAGATATTGGAAGATCACAATAAACAATTGGAGTCTCAGCTTCACCGGCTACGGCAGCTACTTGAGCAGGTACTTGTACACTGATGTCTTTCCTCTGTGTTGCTGTATGACAGATTTCTTGGAGGAGCAAAGGCATTGCTTTTTCTGCAGATGTTTTAACCATACACTCTTGGTCTGTTGCAATCAATTGTTTCTAACATGAAGAGATGTTTTTCCCTACCCTCTAGTTTAAGCCATGGTGAAAGTCAAATGAGCACAAAATGATTACAAGTGCTGGAGTGATCAAGGTAAATTATGAAACACTGAGAGTAACAAGAGCAAGAGCAATAGGTTTTAATTAATTGAAAAGCACAGGAAGAAAATATGTACCCTAGTCCAAGTAATGGTGCCATTCGCACCCTGTGTTTGACTTCGGTTTTCTCATCTTTCCTTAATTAATTTGTTAATTTGTCGTCACTATTAGTCACTCAAACCTCTCTTAGCATGCCAGAGACAGATGGCCAAAGATATCTCTGAAATGCAAAGGAGCATTACATTACATTAAAAATCCAATTCCTCTTGAGCTTGCATGTTTAGACCAATACCCTGCAGCAAAATGTTCTTGTGCACAAGTAAATGCTGGAGGTAAGAGCCTTTTAGCAAATGCTGGAGATTGTAGGGTGTCTTTCTAGGGAGAAGGAATATTGATTGCTTTTGAAGTCAGCACATGCACATCTAGAGTATAAAAATAACAGCAGCAACATATACCTTGTGTTGTTAGAGATGTTAATTTATACTATATCATGTGTGGACACTTGAATGATGAAGATACATTTGTATGAATGTTTTCTCCTAACTAATCATTGCACTTGGGTAAGAGTACAGTAAGGGAAATAATTCCTGCCTTCCATGAGTCAGTTGACTGGCTGTATGTAGTAGAGGATTTAACTAAGCCAAGAAACAGATTGCATAAGCCAGATATCAAAATGGCCTAAGTTCCTGCTGTAGATGATACTCTCATTACAGGGATTATAGTATTTATTGTTTGTTTCACTGGCTGACTGTCATTTTCTCTAGGTTGTTTTGGCTGAATAGGATTAAGATGCATTTGTTCCAATGGCTTCCCTACCCCTTTAGCAGAGTAATTTTTTATTTTTTTTTTGCTACTGTTATTCTAGCATCTTTAATATCATTTGAGTAGCTTAAATATTTAACAGGAAAGATAAAAACTGGTGCAACTGTTAACAATAATTCATGAAGTCAGGATCTTGAGATCTTGAGATCTTGAGGCCAATACTAGGCCTTTCAGAGAAGGGTTTAAAATCTTATAAGAAACAGATATTGAATAGAAACATAGAAGTTATGCCAAACCCACAGTCACTTTCAGCTTTGTGATTAAAGCAGAAACTTGTTCACACTTTAAAACTTTTTTTTTCCTAATGTAGCTGTGGATGATCTTACAATTTTGTAATCCTTGTAACATTCTTAGTAAGACCTTTAGGGTATACATGTGTGTTGTGATAAAGTGGGTGGGAGAAGAGGCAGTAGTTTCCTCTTATAATTTCTGTCTTTGGAATTTTCTAGGCATTCTGCAGATTTTGGTTTCAGATAGGGTAAAGTAGAACAGAGATGACCTTTTTCAATATTTCTCATGGAATTCTCTGTGGGAATCATGCTGTACTTCTGATTGTTCCAAGTGCTATTTTCAAAGGTCTTCCTGTTTCTCCTCTGTCATTTAATAAAGTGGAGGGTACGAAGTCAAATTTGAGAAGGTCTGCATTATTGCTTTTATAATGTATATCTCTGACTTTTCAATATGCCTTACTACCTGTATCCTTACTATATTTAGCAGATATTTTGCAAGCTGTTTCCAGGATGTTGAAACTACTCCCCTGATGGAGATTTAGAAATTATAAATAATTAAAAATTTTAGTAATGTTCTTTTAAATTTCTTTATTTTGACATTAATTATGAAATGGCACTGAATTCCACTAGTGCTGCCTTTCTGAAAAAAATGACCACTCCTCAGCATGTTTGTTGTTCTGTCAGCTAGGCCACTACTGTCTATGAAAGCCTTTATCACTTTCAGTGCTCGGGGAAGGATTTTACCAGAAGCTAGCTGAGGTTCTCAGTATATTTATTTGTTTCTTTTGCTTTTAATGACTGTCCCAATTATTTTTAGTGGATATAAGGAACACCTCTTCCTATTAATGAGATGGATGATTCGCATGAAAGATACTCATAAGTCCCTATGTCCAAATATATAACAACTCTGAAATTACTAGTATTAATGGACACAACTGCCCTAGAAATATGGCATGAAATGCCAGCCATGACAAAGAAATTGTTCTTTATCTCTTCTATCAACAGCAAACTTCTTCATTTATGTTTTCCACTCAGCTTCTTGACTGTTGTTAGGGTTAATAACTTGCCACTAAGTAAAAAATACTGGGACTTCTTTTCTCCAAAAGATTAGAGCAAGTCTATCTACGCACAGATATTTGGGTGGAGAGCTAGTGAAACTTAAAAACTTTCATGAAGTAACTGTTTAATCTAGATGAGAGCATTCTAGGACATTCTTTAGAGAGCACCTTTAGCAGAAATATGCATGCATCCTCACTGCACATTTGTCTACTTCAGGTCACAGTTTCGAGGTTACCATACTATTTTTATTTTAGCAAGCCCAAAGGATTGGTAGCTGTCACAGAATGTTGTCATTTTTGTCTGCCTGATTGATTAGAGTGCCAAAGAGGAAGGTGAAACAGAACTGGCATGTAACAGCTTTGATACCAACATGTTAATCAGACAGAGAATAAACAAAGAACCCATTTTCATTTTTCATTCTTCAGCCTTTATAGATACTGCATTTGCAAAGTCAAAATGAGACCTATTATGAAGGGCATTTAAAGTCTGTTTGGATTTTTATCCAATCAGTAGCTTTTCTGAGCTACTGAATAGAGGTTTCGTATTGGATTTGGTATTGAAGTTAATGGGAGCTAAAATCATCTGTCAACAGCTATATGATCAGACTTTGAGAGAGTAAATAGGGACATCAACTCCTTCTCCAACTGAAAGCAGAGCAGCTTTATCAGAAAAGCAGAGGAGAGTTGTTTTTTTTTTTTCTTTTGTAGCTGGGAGAATAAGTCTGGAGCAAGAAGAAACTTCTGTAATGAGTGTGGTAGGGAAATTGGCATTTTGAGGTTCCCTGTGATTCAGGTTGGGGATTTTGGAGTTCAGTTTGGATTTTACCAAAAACAACAAAAGACAAGGAAAGAGCAGGTATGTCTTAACTACCCAGTAAGCCACAGAGCACTTCAGGCTCTTCTTTGGGAAAGACATCATCAGGGGGCACAGTGAAATAAGGCAGTGTAGATCAAAACTGGTTAAAATTAATATCTCCTTTGAAATGCTTTAAAAACTGCTGTAAATACAGAAAAATCCCCCAATTTTGGAGTTTTCCAGAGAAGAACTTATCTATCCTTTCATATCTTTATTTGGTTTTGCCTAAAAAGATGTTTGAAAACTCCCTGAGCCTGGAGATGGAAACTTTCCCCTCATCCCTATAGAGGCATGCCCAGTATCTCCACTTTTATTCCTTTCAAGAGCAGCAGCAGGCATATTGTAAAAAGGAGGGCTATTTGCTTTCGTTTTCTGGCTTAAGGGTTGTCTGCTGAGTTGTTTTGAATAAGAATATGTTAACTTCATGATGTCTGAAGTGGGTTGATGATGGAATTGCTCATATTTTGTAGGTGTTATGCAATTGGGATTAAGTAGAACATGATCTTCTACAGGATTTTTTTTTCAGGTTCTCTACCAGTAAAATCTTTAAATCATGTAAATACATTCAAGCTTTATTCTCAACTATTTTGCATTTAACATTTTCCGGTACCTGATTATTATACCACTACCACAAACCTTCCCTTTCTGCTCCAAACCCCACTCTTCAGCTGCTTAATTGTATTGTTCTGAATTTTTAAGAAGAAAGGTTTGGTTTGTTTTGGCTTTTCTTGTTATTGCAGTCACTGGAAATATGTAGCGTAACATTTATCATTGTATTTAAATGAAAATTAAATAATGAGACATTTCCCTCTGATTAGGAGGAGATGGTGTTTTTTGTGGGTTTTGTCTTGTTTTTAAATCCAACTGCAATATTTCATTCTGGCTGCTGCAGCAATATATGGTACATTAATGTAAGGTATTCCAAGTATGTTTTGTTTTCTCTCAGTTTATCCACCTGAGCCCTTAATGCTCTGCAGTGGGTTTTTTTGTCATTTGCAATAGTACTCCTAAATGGTGCCTTCACTAACTCATCACCTGAGTTTGTAAGCATTTCCTTTCCATCCTAGTTAATGCTGACTTTGCAGAACCTCACTATCCTTGATCTAGTCTATGTGTTGCTGTGCTGCAGTTTTGTATATCCAACACAGATCTTCTCTCTTCATTCACTCTCAGTCATCTTTGCACAATCCGTAGTTACTGCTTGAAGAGGGATGGAGATCCAATCCAGGTGCAAGTTTGCATTTTGAATGATTCACATTCTCTCTGTTCATCTGTTTGTGGAGTGAGCAAGGTGGTGTTAGCTTCATTGTTCTGTACTGAAGTGACTCTTAACCCTTGAACAATTTGCTTCATCTCTTTGCCATTATATTTCTAACATCATCTTGAACAGTGGTTTCTGGCTGTACAGAATTGCCTGGGGTTACTTACCCCAGGCTTTGCTGATTTAAAATCACCACACTCCTTGTACCTAGACTCTGTAGCTGGATTGAAGCCTGATGCTGAGTAGCAAATTACTTAGCTACTTGATAGTAATTCACTGTTCATAGAAGTATCTTGACAGTAAAACATTTTCATTTTGCTTTGTCTTCTATGCAGAGCAATATTTCTTGCTTTATTCTTTTAGTCAAAGCTGGTACTTTGTACTATTATGCTGAAAGAAATGAGATTTAGAGGAGAAAAAAGAGGTTTGGGTGCTCAAGGGAACATTTCCTTCTAACTACTGTCTGTGGAAGAAAAAGTATATTTCATTCTTCAGCAACCTTTTGTTGAAGATTTTTGTGTTAAACTGTAAGTTATCTCAAAAAATGGAGTATTGCAATTAAGGCTGTGAGGTGCAAAGAAAACTTGTGCACAAATTAACAGCCATTCTGTATTTTAACTCTTTGCATTGAGTTTCATAGCTGTTCCAGGTACTTACTCAATTTCAAAAAAAAATCTTAAAAGCAATTACTTTTTTTATTACTTCAGTATCTGCTTTCGGTAGTTTTACTTACATAATCTGCTCTTTAAGCTGTTTAGAAGTTATTTGTGGATCTGCAATCAAAAAGATAAATGATAACGGCAACCATTTCAGCTACATCCACCTCAGATGTAAATACTGTTTCTCCTATATCTGTGTTTTTCAGAACAAGCACTTCTGGAGCTCAGATATTGTATTACTACTCTCTTACTTAAAGGATTTTTTTTTTTTACCAGAAAGAAGGAAAAAAAAGGAAAAAAATGCCTGAACAAGGTCTTTTCCTATAGTTAAGTTGTTATAGGGAAGAGGTTCTATTTGTGTGTCCATATATTTATACTTACATGTCATCTGAAGCACATACATGGTTACAGCTAAATGTAATACAAAATTTAGGTGTTTTGTTCTTCAAGTGAATTTAAGAGTCCTGAAAAGCTTGTTTTCAAAGTAAATAGGTTCCTACTTGTAATTTTCAGGAGACTACATAGTACAGCTTTTCCTGCGAATTTGGTGTCTTCCACACTCTTGAGAAACAGTGTCAGCAAGAGTGATGGCTTTTTAGATTTAGCAAAGTTGTTTTGAATCTGTCTTGAGTCTTCACTTGATTCTGGAGTTTTAGAAAACTGTTCATAATGGAACAGTTGTTTGTAAGCATGACTAGTCATCCTTGTAAAGCTTCTTAGGGGACCTCAACTGAATGTCCCTTGTGTATGTGGATGTACATATCCATACATATAAATACAACCCCAGTAATCCTACTGTGTAGTCTTTCTGCGGAGCTGGACAGAGCGCCTTGGCAAACTGTGTGGGTTGTACATTACGTTGTATTTCTGTGATGCATACTTGCAACAGAACATTGTTTGTATCAAGACCATCAACTGGAGTCTCATAAGAACTGTACTTAAGTCTAAATTTTCTTTTAACAAGTTCTTGGTTGTTTGTGTTTTTTTTCCTGTCGTAACGGTTATATAGACCTAAGCCAGCTTGGAGAACAAAAAATAAAGAGCACACAAAAAAGGAAAGGAGCAAGATGGCTCCATACACTTAACACTTAACTTCTGTGGATGCAATAATCTAAATTTGTGTCTTATTGTCTTTTTTGTAGCCCGAGTCAGACTCCCGGGTTAATGGCTCCTCTCCCTGTGCTTCGCCCCAGCACTCTGCCCTCGGCTACTCACTTGAGCAGGACACAAGCTCACAGTTTCATCAGACAGGTAAGTGCTTTGATCAGACAATGTGACCCAATCATGGGTCTCCAGATGACTACAAAATAAGTTTGTTGGTATCTTCTCAAAAGGTTTATAAATGAAAAGGAACTGATCTTGTGATGCTTCTGCTCCATGCAGCTGGAGCTGTTGCTTCCCCACATTTGCAAACAGCTGTGGTATCAAAGGAATCCATGTGACTCTGGATTACTGATTTTTGTTGGTAAACTCCTTGGTCCCATCCATTTTGACGAAGTAAATTTACTGGGCAAATCCATCCTCACTGAAAAGGGAACCAGACTTCATTGGACTGAAATGACCAACAGCTGTTTGTCCTACAGTACACAAATGGATCCAAGTAATCTGTCAGATCCAGGAACAAATGTCCAAATCACGTAAAATCTGTGCTTCTGTATGCTTTTAAAAAATCATATGTAACCTCTCTTTATCCTGGTATTTTGATATTCCTACTCCCAAAGGCTTCACATCTTTAGAAATTACTCAGTATTTATGGTATACCCTCTGGACATGAAGGGATTTATCTCTTGAAAGATTATTTTAAATTCTTCAATATCAGAACTCAGTAATTTCACTGGGAGTTATCAGAAATAACTACAGACTATTGAATGCTCAAAATTAGGGGGAAAATTAGAAGACTTTTCTCAAGTTATCTTTGGTGCAATTGCCTCCTTTTTATGTTTCTAGGCCTTGGAGTTATAGATTAAGAAGTATTTCTGTGGAAAACAGAGAAAGTATTCTCTTGTACACTGGAAATTTTTCATTCAGCATTGACATACGTTTTTACTTTGTCTGTAAAAACATGGAGCTTCTTTGGGTGTGATATCATGCAGTGGTAGATTTATGAGAGATGCTGTCTAATAAGACTTCCAGGAGCAAAACCAATTACATTCCCTAACCATTCTCTTGGCTAATTTTAAGCAGCATTTTACAAAGAAATGACAAAGAAGATTTTAGCACTAGTGAAATGGCTGGTACACTTCTTTCAGACAGCTGGTACCATCTAAAAGATACATGTTGGGGGGTTTTCAGGAGAAGGATGGTGTATTTACTCAGAAAGTTACATGACAAATCATCTGAAAATGGAACAGAATTATAACTGAGCAGCTGAGTTTAACTCCCTCATCTTATAAACATTTTATTTATTTCAACTATAAATTTTAATATAGTGTTTTTTTCTTGGGAGCTTCTTGTAGTTAAATCTTGAATGCAATGGTTAAGCTTTAATAAAAGTTGTGCTGCAAATCAAAATGTAACTTTCACCTCTTCTCTCAGGGCTGGCAATTATCAATGACAGTTCCTGCACATTACAAAGGTTTCAGGTAGTGTTTTCCCTTGAAATATAAAGGTGCATTTAACTGGAAGGTTGGGTGAGATCGCCTTTTGGAATGTTGTGATCCTTTTTTTTTTTCTCCTTGTGTTACAAAATTAATTTTTTTGTTGTCATATCTGCAGATGACTTGTTAGTTCCACCTCATGATACCAACACAGATCTAACAGATGTTATGGAGCAAATCAACAACACATTTCCAGCTTGCTGCTGTAAGTTTAACAAAACATGTCTCTGAGAATAGTATGGAATTTGAGGTGTCTTTTGAAGTAAAAATGTCGTTCTTGCAGTATTCAATAGGAAAAAAAAATCTCTAATGAGATTTCTAGTCAAGATATGCAAGTTACATAATTCTGTTTTTTAAAATTCCTCAGTAGACACTATTTCTGAAGGTAAGTAAACAAATGTTCTTGTTTAAAGTGGAAGCGATTCACTATAAGAAAAGCCTATAGCTCAATATAGAATTTCCAGCTCCTCCAGTTTTGTGTCATCTGCAAACTTACTTTGTATCCCTTTCATTCCTGTGTCCAAGTAATTTATGAAGATGCTGAAGAGCACAGGGCCTAACATTGAGCCCTGTGGAACTCCGCTAGTGACAGGTCACCAGTCTGATGTTCCCCCATTCACTGTTACCCACTGTGTTTGACCCACGAGCCAGTTGCTCACCCACGACATGATGTGGTTATCCAGCTGTGTGCTGGACATTTTGTCCAGAAAGATCCTGTGAGAGACTGAAATCCAAAAAGAATACATCAGCTGGCTTCTCTTGATCAACTAGGTGGGTTACCTTGTCATAGTAGGAAATCAGGTTTGATAAGCAGGACATTCATAAGGCCTTGCTGGCTGTGACCAATGACTGTGTTGTCTTTCAGGTGTTTTTCCTCCCAGAATACCTCCCAGAATAATCTTCTCCATGACTTTACCAGGCACTGAAATGAGACTAACAGGCCTGTAGTTTCCAGGGTCCTCCTTCTCTCCCTTCTTGAAAATCATGACAACACTGGCCAGCTTCCAGTCAGCTGTGGCCTCCCTGGATTCCCAAGACAGCTCAAAAATCATTGAGGGAGGTTTTTCGATGACATCAGCCAGCTCTTTAAGAATTCTGTGATGAATTCCATTAGGGCCCATAGATTTATAGGGATCCAGCTGGAGCAGCTGATCCCACACAGTTTGATCATCAGCTGGGAGCTGGTCATTCTCACAGTCATGGTCCTCCAGCTCAGGACACTGAAACCCCCTTGGTCCATCACCTGTGTTGAATACAGAGGCAAAGAAAGTGTTGAACACCTCTGCCTTGTCTCTCTCCCTGTTTGGGAGTTGACCATCCTCATCCTGTAACAGGCAATGATATTTCTATACCACCTATTGCTATTAATATACTTGAAAAAACTCTTTTTATTGCCCCTCACATTTCTGGCAGCTTCAACTCCAGTTTGACCACACAAATTTTCTCCTTATAGCAGCAAGCAGCATCTCTGAATTCTTCCCATGTTACTTGACTTTGCTTCCACTGGACATACACTTTCCTCTTTTGCCATATTTCCAAGAAAAGACTCCTGCTCAGCCAGGGATCTTCTGCCTCGCCTGCTTGACTTCCGATATTTGGAAATTGTTGCTCCTGTGCCCTTAGGAGGTGATGTTTGAAAAGTGACCAGGACTGACAGACTCCAGCACCTGGAAGAACATTTTCCCAGGGAACCTTGCTTACTAATTCCCTGATCAGCCTGAAGTCTGCTCTTCTCATGTTCAGAGTTGAGGTTTTGCTGTCACTTTTCCTCCTGTCAACACAGATTTTAAACTCCTATCACTTCGTGGTTGTTGTGGCCAAGATGACCGTCAATCTCCACTTCTCTCATGAGATGCACTCTGTTGACAAGGGCAGATCAAGGAGGGCATCTCTCCGAATCAACTCCCTTAAGAACACAGGAAAATTCATGTTATCTACGTATTTATAATGCTATAAATTAAAAGTAGATTAAATTTGTGAGGAAAGTTAGGTATCATCCACTACAACACATTTCTAGTTAAATGTTTAGTCTTTTTGAGTAATTTTGTTCTTCTACAGTACATATTTTCCTGATAATGGCTTTGTTTTTAAACTGTCAAGATGCAGATGCAAGTAAATTTCTAACTTTTTTTTTTTTTCATTTGCAGCAAGTTTCACTGGCAGACCACAGGTATGAGACATTGTTACATAGCTGCATAGTCATTGGAAACAGAGAAAAGCAAGTGGCAATGTTCTGTTAAGGCAAAGTGGCTGGGGTGGGGTTTTTTCTATATTTTTCCCTAGACATCTATTTGGAAGCTAGACTGATAAAACAGGAAGGCCACATTCTAGCATAACAAAGGTAATAGAAAACTTCTGCTAGATTAGGCATTATTAACAAAGGTACTATGGTGTGCAGTTCTACATTGCTGACCAGATGGAATCAGCTTGCATTTATCAGGACTAATTAGTTCCAAAACAGCATCAATTTGCAAGATCAAAGCTGGTTTTTGCAAAGACATCCATATGTACTTGTGCCCTGGTGCCCATAGGTCCAGTTTCAGGACCCATGGGCACCAGTGGACAAGAATCAGGAGCCACATAGCACTTCAGGCATTAGATTAAGCTGCCTTCTCCCAATAGGCAACCACTTCACAAACCCAAAGCAGAAATCTGGCTGCTTTCAGAGTTCACAAAATTGTGGAAAACAACCTAGTATTTAGGTACTTGATCTTGAAAATATGACTGGTATGAATGATCAGCTAAATTGCTATTATAAGTAACTGAAATAGGAAAAACACTTGCTATAGGTTTAGGTTGCTATTGGAACCCATGTATGACAGAAGATAATCTTGCATCATTGCAGAGTTCTTTCAAAGTTTTGTTGTTAAATAATACTTTTAAACTACTACAAATTGCTGTGTGCGACTTCAGAAGAATTAAGTGGTTGGGAGAAAGTCTATTTACTCCCCCAAATTGCTCCACCTTGTCCATTAATCCACTTTTTGCAAGATCAGACCGTTCCAAAATGAATATCTAAAAATTCAGAAAAATTTTTTGTAAAAAACTTTCTTGAATTGCAGAATCTGGGATAGTAGGATTGTCCTCCAAAACCAGAATTCCTAGAGAGAATGAGATGAATCAGGCCCTGCACTTGGTTAACTCAGACTTTCTGTTTCAGTCTCTTGATAAGTTAGTGAATTAAGCTAGTTTGGGGATTTTTTTCAGAAATCCTTCCTCTAAGCAAGCACAGAGATAGTCTTATTGACTGATAACACTGAAAGCTATCTCCCTTGAAAAACATTAGAATTTTTTTTTTATTATTATTTTTTATTTTTTTTTTGGATACTGCGTGTGTCCCACACGATCTCTCTGAGAATCTACCCTTCCCAACCATTAGAGCACATTTGTCTGTTCAGGAGTAGAATCCTGAAACAAGAGCCTAGAAATAAGTTTGACATTTGAAGGGGCCAAGTCCAAATTCAGAATCTGTATAATCTCCATTTTTGACTTAGACTTCAGATAGGACAGTAGTTTACCTAAACTTTTTTCTTCACGTGGGTGCAGAAGAGAGTTTCTAAGTCATATTTACTGCTGTGCAGACTAACGTCCTCTGGGCCTCACTCAACAAGAATTTTAAACACTGCAATATTGTAAAATTAGATTTCTTTTAACTGTATGCCTCAGTGATTTGCTCAGTCTTGGGCCAATACATCTAAATTTTTAAAATACAGAGGTTTTGTGAGATGGCATCACAGTCCTTATCTGAATGAGCCCAGAGTAGAGGTTTCTCTACCTAACATGGTACTGACCTGGTTGTTTCTCATCATGACAGGCAATGTGAAGTGTTCATTTGGACGTCAACCAGTGCTTCCTGATGTGCAGAACAGCCCTTTTCTACAAACTGCCAACCGCGAGTTCCACTTCATCAGAAGGCTGCATGGGACCCTGGAACATGCTGTTTGCTCTGACTGCGTGTTCGACTTGAAATAGTAAAACACTGAATACCCAAAGATGAGGATGTTGTTTTTATAGTATCTTTTTTTTTCCTTCTTCCCTCTCTATGCAACTGTAAATTAATGAGCAGTGGAATATTTGTCACTGATTTGTATAAATATACAGCCAGGGAAAAAAGGGGCAGGGGCTTTATATACGTTCTTTTTGATAATCGTAAAGAGAACTGCATAAGGAGTTTGGAGCAAAATGTTACGTTTATACATTCCTTTCAGCTCTTTGCTTTTGCATTGTAAAGTTCTCTTAGTTAAATTCTCACACATGTAATATTCTGTACTGATTATTTATATGCTAACCATGTGACCACACAGATTTCAGAAAATATCCTTGTATTATTTTCAGCATTGACATATGAAGTTCCCATAATCTGCATTATTTTTACTGGTTAACAAAAACTGCCTTTGAATGCAAGCTACAGTATTTTAATTCAATTAAACAAGGTAAACTCTCATTTCAAGTCATAATCATCATTCTTGTGTACCGAAATGGTATTTTAACTTTCTTTTAGTTACTTTCAGCCAACACACTCCATACGGAGGATTATTTTTTTAAGCCTTACTTTACTTTTAATCAGGAGATAGCTAAAAAGAGGACTTAGATGATAGCTTAAGTTGGTTTTAGTAAGATCTAAGTTAGTGTAATCTTTCCCAAATTTGTTCAGAGATAAAGCTTTGCTGTTCCCTGCTGTGCCAAACTTGCTTCAAGTTTTGGAATTTACAGTCTATGAAGTAAAGCTCATTTCTGTGAGATACCCTTCTTTTGTCTGCCTCTTGTAAATGAAGAGACATTTAGAAAGCCCTTTCCAATACTATTAGCAATGGAACTTTCTCCAAAACTGCAATGCACTTAGATATTATCATTTGGCATTGTAATCTTGCAGATCATCCTTATCTTTGAAATCATTTATTTATGTACTTTTGGTAAGGATAATTATGGGAAAGTTATGTCACTGATCAGCTGATCTCTAGTTTTAAAATTATCCTAAGTGATTTTAATGCCTTCACAGTTTACAATGCTGCATGGACACTTGCTTTAATTCCAGGACATACCTTTAATTGGTAAAACTGCATGCAATATCTTTCATGTTTAGTAGAGAGAAACAAAACTGTGTTGTTCTTAAGTATTGAAGGAAAAAGAAAACTATCTCAAAATGGTGTTGAAAGAGTTGTAAATTCTCTACTGCTACTGAAAAATGCTAGAGGACATTAAAACGGCAGGTCAGGAGTTTCTAGTGTTTTTGTGAAGTTTTGCCAACTAGACTGTCCTGTACCCACAGTATTCACTCCTAGACTGCTGCTGCTCAAGGAGTGAGGCACAGTGTTGACCACCCTCTAGTGTTGGCACCAGTGCCAGTTCTTTCTGAACCCTTTCACAAATTATTTAACCACTCTGCCTCTGTTTTCCCATCTGTAAAATGGGGATGATAGTACTTAACTCCCAAAGGTGATGTAGGACTTGCTTAGTTAGTGTCTGAAAAGCTCAGTAGAAATGCTAAATATTACTCTCAAGTGAGTGGAGCAAAATTGTCAAGGTGGGAAGAGAAGAATCTGGCTCCTATAAATGCTTCAGTTATTAAAATGTAGTGTAGTTATTCTGAAAAGAAAAAACCCCACATTTTACAGAAGAGGAAAGCCATGACCACCTTTCTACCTCAGACCTATCTTCATAAGTAGTATTGGAAATAGCTTTATATTCTGTTCTCTGCAAAGTACTTTTTTTTTATCAAGCTACATTATTCTCTAGGCAAAGAATCCTGAAACATATTCCCCAACATAAGTATAAAAAGAACTCAGTAGTGAATTTGGTGGGATTTATTTTTGTTCTGAATATGAGGTTATGTATAAAGTTGTTTTTCTGCCTGTGTTTGTATGCAATCCTTTGTCCTCTGCTGCCAAGTAAATGCTGCTTCAAACACTACATTGTAACATTCTTCCTCTGAGACAATAATAAATAAAAGATATATATTGCAGTAACATGAGAAAAAGTATGGACTTCTTCCAAGTTTTGAGGTCTTCGAGGATAGCACATCTCATTGCTGCATGCTGAAAATTTCATTCTGAAGATTAACGTGGGAGTGCTGTGATAGTCAATTTCTATATGCTAGCTTTTTCTCAGTATAGTTTGCATTTATATAAATGACATTTAGCAGTGTTTTTTCTCCATATATCTTGCATATTTTCTCCAGTTTTCCATCTTTAGTGATTTAGTCTGGAATCCTTCTCAGTTTCATGATAGGTAGTAAATTTGATCACTGAGAAGCAGACTGCTTTTATTTTTAAAATGTTATATATATGTATTACAAAACAGCAATAATGTATGAAGCCCTGTCAAATATGAGAACTGTGAATTAGTCTTCAGGTGTTGGTGGTATTCAGTCAGCATGCTCAGCTGAAGCATTGCATTAGGTAATACTTTTATATTATATACTTTATAATACACAGCGTCAGAAAATACTTCCTACTAAGTGCTGATTTTAGGTATTGGCATTAATGCAAATTGTGTCAATAGCTGTGTTAGAATTACTATGTGTAAAGGAGAAAAAAAGAACAAAACCCTAACCATTCTGTTTCCTTATAGTAATAGTTGGCACTATTTTCATTTTTTGTTAGTTTTTTTTTTTTTTAAATTCCAACAAATGTCAAACATAAGTGTCAAAGTAATGACCTTTTCCCTCAGTTTGTGAAAGGGTGCCTAACAAAGAGGTTGTAGGGAAAGATCATGTTTTTCGCATGGTATTTAAGTGATTCATCAGTTAACAAGGAATTTCATTGTAGAAATAGCAATATATTAAGTTTTGTATTTAGAAAAATGTGTCAAAGTGAAGGAGACTGCTGTATTAAGGAGAGTATTAAACCATACAATCTGTGATTTTAAAAAGTAAGCATTTTAATTATGTGTCTGTAGAGGTGAAGGCAGCAGAAGTGGCGTATGGGTCACTACCAGGGCCTGACTTTGTGCTTATATCTACAAGTTCCATTCAGTATCCTGATTGCTAAGGTAGTCTGTGCCAGAGCTCTGTAATGCTTTCACCTGTGCAGAAGGTACTCTCAGATTAAAAAGCAAGCTTTAGTACTGTGCCATGAAGGTGCCGGTCCTTGTCAGGGGAAACAGAATGACACCCACTTTTCACCAGCTTGCCATAGGGCTTTTCTCAAGGGTGTTGGGGAAGGGCACAGGAAGAGAGCATGACCACTTCTGGTCCTCAATGCACAACACAATGGTAAGCACTCCCTCACTTCTCCACGCAGCCTTTTCCTTTACTCACTAACCACCCTCTTAACGCTGTTATTTTGTCAGGCCAGAGAAGGCCAACACGATACTTTTCCTGAGGAGAATTAGGTCTCAGTCCAAAATGCATACCTATCCATCACATCAGGAGAGACACCTTTCTGCACTGCCCAGAATGGATAGAGTTGGTTGACAGCATATTTGTTTAATTTTTTATTGCAAAACACCCTTGAGCTGAAATGTTACTAACAGATCAGTTCATTTTCTCAGAGAAAATGAAGATTTATGCATCTAATTAAAACCAGAGTGCAGAAGTTCCTCTGCTATGAGGGCTTCATCTCCAGGGGAACTTCCACTATGAAACAGTCATGGTGGTATTCTTTCTTTTTGGACCAAGAGAAGGCTCCTCAGATATTCAGCTCTCAATAAACAAGATAGATTATGAGACACCAGTCCTGCTACGTTAAAGATACTGGACACAGACTGTCAGTGTGCACATGACAATTCCTGGGACAGGGGTTCTGTCATCTCTTTTGTTATTTCTAAAGTTGAAAAATGCGGGGGGGGGGGGGGAGAGCTAAAGTCAGCCAAATTAAAAATGTATTAATATAATAGGCAAGCTGTGGGTTTATGCAAAAGGCCAAAATATTTTTTAAGCATTTACAGTACAAGTTACCCTTTATATATATAATATTTATATATATATTTTCTTCTCTACTTCAGTGTGAAGTTTCCCTAAGAAAAACCTTCCCAAAGGTAAACATTTGCTGCACTGCAAAACTGACTAATCGATCATGTCTCCTGTCACGCAGAAATGAAGATGTCATGCCATATGGCTGAGAATTCTGTTCCCACAACAGCAATAAAATCAGTCTTACAAATCCTGACAAGGTGTAAATTAATAACAGTGGGGTATGAAAAAAAAACAACTAAACAACTTTTACTGGAAAAAAATATTTGAGCAGGAAGAGATCACTTTCACCTTACAAACAAAAAAGCTTTTAGTAATCATCAGCTAGATGTTGTGTTCTTCAAACAATGTTCTCGTGGCCAGGAAAGGTGAAATCATCCTTAGCTCATGTCTTTGGGAATGTATCTTTTGTCTTTAGTGCATGCACTTTAGCTTTCGTGATGTCCCAGCAAAAATTAGTCTTTGCAGCTTAAATTTATGCATTAGAACAGCTGCATGCAAGTGTAGCAACCACCTTCGGAGGAGGTGGGTAGTGTTTTCATCAGCTGCTTTTCTAATCAGCCTCTGAGACACCAGTAGAGAAGCTGCCAGGAGTGGGCTGGTTCAGTTCATTTTCCCAGGCGTACCAGCACCGCCAGCAAACTGGTGTGGCAAGAAGGTATTATTTAAACTGAAACCTGCTCTATATTAGTATTCTTATTAAAAGTGAGAATCCAGGAGATGCACATAGAATTACTAGGTGCCAGTCTTAAAGATGCATACACTGTACAGGAGAAAAACCATGACCACCACTCCCCCCGCCCCCCATACACACCACCTTCATGTCTGTGCTTTGCTATCTGTGCTATCTCACTGGCATCTCTGAAACAAAGTATTTACAGATTAACTATTCATACACTTATTCGTCACTGTCCTTGTACAGCCAGATAAACACTTGGAAAATGTCTGGTTTTCTGACTGTGGTGGTTTGATGCTGGCTGGATGTCAGGTGTCCACTAAAGCCATTCTATCCCTCCCTCCCTCAACTGGACAGAAACAATTGGACAAAAAATATAATGAAAGCTTGTAAGTTTAGGTAGGGACTGGAGAGATCACTCACTAACTGCTTAGTTGGAGACAGCTGGCATTGGCCATGTCACACATGGAGAAAGCTGCTGGCAGCTTCTCAGAGGATCCACCCCTGTGGCCCCCCCACTACCAGAAAGTTGCTATGCAGACCCATTACGCTGACCTCTAATAATTCTTTCTTGGAGAAACTATACTTCAAAATTACTTATTTTCTGACTGTGGAAGGAGAGTCTAGAGTAACTAGCTCAAAGGAATATCCCTAGAGCTTAAAAATCTAATTTCTGGAGATCTCATCCTGATAGTAAATAAAACAATACAGAATTGTCAGCTAG